ACCTGGCAAGAGCACTTCGGAATGGGAAATATTTTTCACAATTTAATAGAAGCAAAGCCACATCACTTATGTAGTATAAAAGGGTATCAGTATCAGTGTTTCTCTTGTATTGTATTTCCTCTTGTATGTCCTGGCTGACGTAACCTAAGATAAAATTGGTCATTTACTTTCATTTTTTTTGTGGAACGTTACTATGCACAAATTCACAAATTGGCTGCAGGGTTCGTCTGCAAAATATACAGTCGCTACGCTTCACGGTAAAATCTTGTGAAGCACTTTGAGACATCTCGATGACGTGATGTCAAATGCAATGATTATTATTATTCATACATGCCAAATATTTCTTCACATTAAAAGAAGATTCACAGTGCAATCTTTCACATTTGGATGTAGCTCGGATTACGGTGGTTCCAAAAGCAAAAAATTTATTTTTTAAAAAGAAAAGTGAATGGGGGTCAAATCAGTTGTCGAAAAAAAATTGTGTTGTCCTGCATTTAAAAAGGAAATGACCTGCTTATATTTTTGTAGGCTGCAGTGACACTGGTCAATAGCTTGAATCTTGTACATTTTGCTAAACAAATAGGGTTATAGAAGACTCGGATGGATTACAGAAAAGGTTTTATGTCACTATTGTTTGCATTGTGTATTGCAGATAAGACCAGGGTTTAGTCCTACCAGTTCGTGTCAGTCTGTGGCTAACTCCATAGCTACAGCTGTGTATTCATTAACAGTTCCACTGTAGTTACAACACTGACCTTTATAATCAAGGACTTGAATGACTGCTGCACACCCTGGTAGTTCCATGATATATGCTCTGAGCTAATTTTTCCAGACAATTTCTTTCTTCTATGTACATTTTGGTTTCAACTATTCTAAATATTTGTGTGGGTAAAATAGCATTTGCTTCCAATGTAGGTGCGGAAAGTTTTTTTTTTTGTGTGTGTGATCAATTTAGGAAATCTTCAATACTTGGCGATAAAGGCGTAAAGAAAAGGCCCAAACATACTGAATTCAGTTATCCAGGAGCTGCTATGTGCAGATGTTGTAAGAGTTGGCGGTATTTGTGCATTAGGGTCACTGTTCCTTATAATGTCACTAATATTTAGCAGACGTTTAAAAAAAAAAGTGGTTGCCTTACCAGCCAAGCAGCGAACCGGTTAAATTTGGAGATGCACCCAAAATATCAGCATACGCAATTTACCTTCCAAAGGATGAGGTGCATCATTATCATAATAATAATAATCATCATAAACTTTGCATTTGGTATAGGGGACTTATAACATCGGAAGGACGTTTCAAAGTGCTTCACATGGTTTACTGTGAAAGGGAGTGACTGTGGGTTTTGTCGGCAAATGCAGGAGCACGATTCACATAGCCGTGTCCCACAAACAATCATGAAACAAATGATAATTTTTTAAATATTTGGTCGGATTGTTGGCCAGGATACCGGGAGAATCTCCGTTCTCCTTTCGGACAGTTTTATGGGATCTTTAAAGTCCACCCAAACAGACAGACGTGACTTCGGTTTTATGTATCACCCGAAGGACGGTACTGCTGACAGTGCCACATCCCCCCCATCACTGCTTTGGAGTGTCATCTTACACAGTGTGAGTTCAAGTCCCGATATGGGACTTGAACGCACAACCCTCTGACTCAGTGGCAAGAATGCTACAAATAAACCAGGCTGACACCAAGATTCGTTTGAGTTCTAAAACAGCGCATTATTTATAAAAGCCAAGACCCTCATCCAAGCCTTCAGCACTTCCTGGCTTAACTATGCCATTGCTCTGCTTGCCGGGCTCCCGAGCTCTTCGCTACACAAGTTGCAGACTATCTGGAGCTTGTAGCCAAGTCCTCTTCCGTTCTAGGCTCCGTGAATCGATCGCCCCCAGCCTCGCTCCCCAACACCGAGTGGATTGAGTTCAAGGTTCTCGTTTTCACTTGTGCTCCTGCATTTCACTTTTCGTGGAGTCCTGTAGCTCAGTGGTTAGAGCACTTGCTTTGCGAGTGAGAGACCTGAGTTCAATTCCAGGCAGAGGGCGAAACCTTGGGCAAGTTTCCTTACTCCACACAGAGCCTAATAATAATCCCTCCAAAAACAATAATAATAAATTGGTCATTTTCAATCTACGACTGTTTGTGGGACATTGCTGTGCGCAATTGGCTGCCGCGTTCGCCCACAAATATACAGTCAATTCACTTTGCGGTCTGTTCTGTGAAGCGCTTTGGGACGTCCTCCCGACGTGAAAAGCGCTGTATCAAATGCAAGGATTATTATTATTATTATTATAAATCTCCATGATCTCATCAGCAGTCTACCCAAGTGGCTTCCTCCAACCCAGCAATCCGGTTGCTCACTTCGCTCAAAGAGCACTGGACTTGCTTCATATTCCCTGCCTTATACACCCCACCATTGAAGGGTTGGCTTTCAGTCATTCTGCCAAGTCACTCCGACTTCCTCCCTCCCTGCTTCCCCTCTTTCAATGCACGTCTCAAAACAGATTTCTTTGATCCTGCTTTCATTCATCTTTCCTCTCCCTCTCCCTTGGCTTCCACCCCACTTGGCTCTCACACTGTGTTCAGATGCCCATCCAGCATCGTGAAATGCTTCAAAACATCCTTCTGACGTGAAAAGTACTACATCAATGTACATTATATTGAGCCATACCATGTGGAATCAATTCGTATTTCTCTACTAGCCTACATAGCACTGATGCTACTGTTTTAAATTTATTATTTAATTAATAATTTAAATAATTTTATTATTTAATTATTATTATTTTAAAATTACTGAGGGAATTGGACACCCAGTTTGCAATACATATTTATGTTTCAATTGAGAAATATGGAGTAATTTCAATTGAGAAATATGGAGTACTTGGATATAAGTAAAATTGGGCAAAACATTTTTCTAGTTAATTTTGATGCACGTCAGCTTGAACTCATTTTTTGTTTCAATGGGGATTATATCAAACACTAGTGACCACTTTATACCTTGTATACATTTCTTAATCATCATCGGGTAATGATATGTTTTACTAAGACGCCGTGGTATAGTGCAGGTTACTGCCTGACATTGCAATGCTGGATATATTTAAACTGTAATCCGCAATTGGATATTTGATTACTTTTGCCTACGTTCTACAACTTGGGATGTTTCATAGAATGAGAAGGCATGGAAAAAGGCATTCATCCATCCCAATTAGTCTGTGCCCGTGTTTACTCTCCACATGAGTCACACCCTCCTATTACCGTCCTCCCATCCCCTCATGTGTTCATATTCATCAAGTTTTCACTTAAATATATTGATGCTTTTTACTTCAACCACAGTCTTAAAAATCGGGCACATTCCTGTCACCCTCTGTGTGTATAGCTTCCTCCTGAACTCCATATTAGATCTATGACGAGCTATTATATATTTATGCCTTCGAGTTTTGGACTCAGCAACAAGTGGAAACAGGTCATCAACAGACACCTTATTGAGCCTTTCATAATCGTAAGCACCTCTGTCAGGTCTAAACTCTAGAGAGACAACCTCCAATCTGTCCAATCTTTCTTGGTAGCTGGATCCACTTATCCCAGTTAACATCCTTATAAATCCACGGTGTATTCTCTCCAGTGCCACAATCCCTTTCCTTTAGTATAGGGACCAGAACCGTTTTATATACATTTGATATTACTTCCCTACTTTTGTATTCTATTCTCTGAACATAAATCCAAGAGCTATATTTGCATGTTTTATGGCCAATTGGAAAAGAGAAGATAATAATAATAATAATTCTTGCATTTGATATAGCGCTTTTCACGTCTTCTCGACGTCTCAAAGCCCTTCACCGAATAGACTGTAAAGTGAATTGACCGTATATATTTTGTGGACGAAATGCAGCAGCCAATTGCGCGCAGCAGTGTCCCACAAACAATCGTGGATTGAAAATGACCAATTTATTATTGTTTTGTTTTTTGGAAGGATTATTATCAGGCGTGTAGAGTAAGGAAACTTGCTCAAGGTTTCGCCCTCTGCCTGGAATTGAGGTGTCTCGCTTGCAAAGCGAATGCTCTAACCACTGAGCTACAGGACTCCAAGATGTTCCCTTCTCTTTTCCAATAGTGCCAATAGGATCTTCAACATCCATCTGAATAGGCAGTTTAACTGAGGACATCAGAAACACAGCACCTTTGATAATACAATACTCGTGCAGCACCGTATTGGAGTGTTAGCCTTCACTTTGAGTTCAAAGTCCTGACATGGGGCATAAACTCACAATCTTCTGACTCAGACAAGAGGGATACCAACTAAGCCGGGTTGGCATTTGTATAATGCCAGATAAGTGTTTCGGGGATAAATAGTTCTAAATTTCTATTTTATTCTGGCAAATAATTTGGTTAAGTGATTTTGAGAATCACAAGTACAATAAAAATGTGAATGTTACCGAGTACTGCACCTATTTCCTATCATTTTCTTGAGGGTTCAATTATATAATTGAATTCTTTGAGTTTATTCATGAATTGTGCTTGTTGAGGTTTCATTGGAAAATGCTTGATACGGTTGATGAAACCCCACATTATTAATTCAAAGAGATTTTAAAAAACTATTTGTAATTGACAGAGTATGAATGTTTGGGTTTATCTCAGTATCTGTTATTACTTTCTTAACATGTGTATTTAATTTCATCTGTAATCCCTCTCCCTAATAAGACTTTAAATTTAAAGTTAGAAGTGATTTTGCCACAGCCACAGTTGAGGGTTTGAAAAATATGGTCTCTGACTTCTGCTGCTTGACATTTCCTGCTACAATATTAATTGTCTGTATGTGTGTCCTGTAACGTTGTTCTCACTTTACACTTCTTTCAGAAAGTTTTGTTAATAGTTTGCTGAAATATTCTGGATGAAGTCAGACTTTTTAACAATTGTTTTTTTTAAAAAAGATGTACATAACATGTAATGATTTTGTTTGTATAGTTAAAAAATGACCGCTTATATGTTTCTTTTGTATGAATCAGGATTTCATGACCTGGGCAGATGATGCTGAGGAGGAAGGCTTTGTATTGGTTTCATTTGGTGCCGGTGTCAAATATCTGTCGGATGATGTTGCACACAAGCTAGCAGGAGCGTTGGCTCGACTACCTCAGAAGGTGGTGTGGAGGTATGTGCATAATTGGGGAGATGGTGGTGTTGTGGAGGTGGGGTGTAGTGAGGGTGCACAAATGAAAAGCATTTCAGAAAATTAATCGAACCTGTCACTTGAGCAATGAAATTAAGTCATTCCGTTTTTACAAATCATCATGGTGGTGTGGGCTTTGTAAATCCATACAAAAGCAACCAAACATGTATGAATAAAATTTATATAATAATTAAAATTGAATAAAATGGTAAGATATGAAATAATTTTAAGCTCTAATCTTGAAAATATCCTAGTACTTGCAATAGAACTCTGTCTGCTTATAAACATAAACTCACATAAGTATGACCTGTATAAATTGTATAAGTGCAGTAAATCTGCCCAAGTCCTGTTCAATGTCCTATTAAATCCACCTAAATTTATATTTTCTAGTCGTATTAGCCACCGCAAAACCACCGGGTAACTCATAACATGCTATTGCACTGACTTTACCAGCTTCTTTAATATGCATGGGTTAAACATGATACAGAAACTTTGCCTTAATGTCACCGGCCAGGACAGTACTTGTTTATTTGTTATGTATTAGTCATATAAAATCTGACTTATACGCTACTTTACCTAAGACATATATGACACAACTTGTGCAAGTTTACCATAACTCATACTTTGCAAAAGTCATTTTAAATATTATGGTCCAATTGAATCGACTTCAGTGCGTTTTCCTCAATTTGGGCACTGATCCTGACATTCACTTACCCCAAAAGCACTCAGCAGCTCCAAAAAAGGAATGCGCAGGTAGTGAGTTCAGTGGCAACTTCATAATCCGGAAGCCAGCCATTTTGGCTTCCCAGTGCCAGGGCAGCCTTTTAAATATCCAGTGGGAAGAGCTTTCTGCGTGCAAGCACAATTATGATGTCCAATGCCCTGTGATAGAGTTGATAGGGATTTTGTGGACCTCAACCACCAAGTTATAGCAAGGTTCTGCTGTGCAAGGTACATTGCACAAACACCAAGGCCATTATTTTTTTCTGCAGGGAATGGTTATTGTTTTGCCACATTTATAATGGAATTTTATGATTTAACATTCTTCATATTAATAGACCGTTTAGAACAATATTATGATATCCTGTTCACGTGCAAGACATTTTTTTCTATAAATGCTTCTGGATTTCTATAGTTATAATTTTGTGGGGTACGTTGCTGTTCATTTCTTGACCCTGGCTGATGCTTTCTTACACCAACACCACATTAGCAGAAGTCCCCTTAAACTCCAACTCACAGAAATAGAGACAGGCAAACAATCAAGGCCAGGTTAATGGCGTTAATTTGATGTACTTCCTTGGCACCCATGCACACAACACGCAGGAAATAATTAGTTAGCATCAGAAGTGTGTAACACATCTTGTAAACCACCGGTCCATTGTAAGTCAGCTATAGTGAATTTGTGCTGAACTGAAGAGTTTTATAACCAGGTCAGCTTGCATTTAACCCAGGCTTCCTCCCCTTCAACATTCACCATTACAGATACCTGCAACACTGAAATCACCATGTCCTTTGGAGTATTTATCTCTCAGTGGTACTTTACATCTAAACCTAAAACCTCCAATACGGTTCTTAAAACAGATTATTTTTCTGTTGGAAGTCGGCTGCAGATATCAACTACTCCGTGGTGGGGCAAAAACTACCTTCTCTAGTGTTATTCTCATATACTTAGTTTAAAAAAACCTATTGCATGTATATAAAGCTATGCTTCTCAGCATTTTAAAGAATTTAATAGTTTCGCTTTCTCTTCTCTGCCCTCTATCCTCCCTCCCCTCTCCTGGTTTAGAACTCAGTCTAATAAGTAGAAATGTCTTAGAACAGAATTGTGTTTCAAAATGTATTGGTAATTGACGTGTTTGCTTGGGTCACTGTGGCTTTAAGTATTTTGTTTCCTTTGCTAGCCCTATTCATTTATAAGTGAACAAGTCATTCTTTAATTCCCTTTATTGGAAGGGGGGCAGCAGTAGGATTAATTTATTTTTAAACGAATAAGCATTGTTTCTCCAGTTGAGTTAAGGGCAAGTAAAAATTGGTGATCTTTATACTTCTCCACACCGTCAACACACTGTAATCACCATATTATGGGATATCGTTCATTCACTTTCCTTATTTATATTTCATTTGCTTTGTAATGGATATTCAAGACGACTTTAGTTTCGAGAATAGAATTTAAACCTCCATATAGTAATTGCTTCCCTAACCAGTTGTTTCAAAACCTGAATGAGTCATACATGGAAACTATAAGATTGCTTTCTGGCTTGTTTAAGACAAAAGTTAGACTTTAACTAAATAAATGCATATTAAAGTAGTTTTAACTTTCTGTTTTTAATCATTGTCATTTTTGTTTAAAAATATATTGTTTTATTGAGGTTAGCAATTTATTGGGATTAGCAATCTTGTTTGTAATTTACATTGCATAAGATGCAAGATGTTATATATTTAGTATTCAGTCCTCTGAAATCAATGGTCATTAGAGCTGTTTGCTGTGGTGTTTGCTTATTTGCATTTTATTTGTGCTGCTCTCTTTGTGAAGTTAAAGTGGGCCCCCTACTGCTGTCATGCGATACTTACTGTAAGTGGAGTCCTGTAGCTCAGTGGTTAGAGCACTCGCCTTGCAAGCGAGACACCTGGGTTTAATTCCCGACAGAGGGCGAAACCTTGGGCGAGTTTCCTTACTCCACACAGAGCCTAATAATAATCCCTCCAAAACAAAGCGATAATAAATTGGTCATTTTCAATCCACGACTGTTTGTGGGACATTGCTGTGCACAAATGTACGGTCAATTCACTTTACAGTATATTCTGTGAAGCGCTTTGAGACGTCGAGAAGACGTGAAAAGCGCTATATCAAATGCAAGGATTATTATTATATTATTATAAGTGCACATCATATGATCAATCCATTCCAATAGGAATAGCCCAGGAAACTACTGTAATACAACAAGTTATATTTACATAGTGCCTTTCATCTCAGGAATATATCTAGTAGCACTTCACTCAGCTGACCGAGAGACTGAGCCGAGGGTGGGCGCAGTGAAGGAGAGCTATGTTGGGGAAAGGCAGAAGGTGCCCAAAAGTATGGTCTTAATAACAATGCAGGATGTTTGCCTTATATGGTTTCAATATTATTCACACATGTTTCATTAGACAGAAGCTTCAATAAACTAATGTTTAAAAATCACTAGATGGAGCAGCAATTGTAGGGATAAATTAAAATGTGTAAAAGCTTCACAAAAGATTTGCAATGCAATAGCACCATCTTCTGGTAGGTAAGTGATACAGAATCAACAAGAGCTGCCAGGCATATTGGGGGCTAGTGTACGGCCATGCCATGTGATGTAGGAACAGGAGTAAGCCATTCAGCCTAAATGTACCAAATTGTTGTGCAACATCACTCATGAAGAAGCAAATTTAAACACGTCAATGATTGAAGATGGTGTGAGTCACAATTCCTTGCCAATTAAATGAAAACATGAACTTTTCATTACTTTCAATATTTTCATTCCATTCTTAGCCAGGTTGTTTTGTAGGTGATAATTTATTAACAGCCCAGATTACTTTCTCTGTAGCAAGGTATATGCAGTTAGAATTATTTCTGGGTATTTCAATATAAGCTTGCACCAAAACATTTTTACTCATCGACTAGGTGTCAGCCTGGCTCAGTAGTTAACAAACCCTGCTCTGACCCATAGAACTACAGAAAAAGAGAAGGGAGTTTCTCCTGGCCCCCAGATGAAATTGATCATTCACTTCATAGCTGTTTGTAGGTCATTTTCTATACACAAATAAACATTTGCTATATTTACACAGTCACTATAATTACCGGTACTTTACTTTGTGAAGCACTTTGAGACGTCTCAACAAAGTGATAAGGCACTATATCAAATTAAAGAATTATTACAAGGATCATTACATCTTTCCGAAATGGCTTCAATTCCTTAGGAAAAACATTTTTGTGCTGAATGTTTTTATCAGAAACTTTGCATTCAAAATTCCAGATCTACTCTAGCTTTCCCTACACAGAGCAAAGTGATTGGACAAAAGGAAATGACTCATCCATGTTTTGCCCACAAAATATACAGACAATTCACTTTACAGTATATTCTGTGAAGTGCTTTGAGATGTCTCAAAGACGTGATAAGGCGTTATATCAAATGTAAAGATTATTATTATTATCCCAGCCATTGCACCACTTTGCATTCTTGTTGGCAGAATCTGCTGTGAATTAAAACATGACCCAGAAAGGAAAGCTTAGTCAGATGTTGCCTGGTCAGCTGCTAAGATGCTCACACTTGCAGATAGATAGAGCATACATTTTTAAAATTTTGATCTGTAAAACTTTCTGGGCCATGCTCCTTAACTAGCCCAGAGATGGGACAGACATCCCTATTCTAGGTGTAGATTTATGGTCTTTTATTTACATTGGGTAACGCCCAAGAACTGTTGGGTCTCTCCTATCATTGTGAAGTGCCTGGCATCTGTTTGCCAACATAAATGTGTTTAGAACCTCATCTGTAGAATATAATTGTAAGAACGTTATCACATCAGTAGCTTTAGCAGATGTATTTCTTCTGGATAACTACTCACTTATTCCAAAGACCATCAACCAAACTTCTTAGTTTACTCCATTCAAGAAGGAAAGCTTATGTTATTTGCATTTGTATATTAATTTCTCAGATAAAATAACGTGTGCTACATGTTAAAGCTGTTCCTAGTAGAAGTGCACTTTGATATTACTTATGTAAATACTGAAATAACTTAGTCTGTGTCCTATTTGAAAATGGTTAATGTTGAGGACAACAACAAGAAGATAACAACAAGATTACATTTGTATAGCACCTTTCACGTCGGGAGGACGTCCCAAGGCCCTGATAGTGTACAGCATTTCAGACCCGAGCTGGGGTCAGGGGGAGAAGGTAAGGGGGGTGACCAGTGCCATGGTCGAAGAGGAGGGTTTTGAGGCGGGACTTGAAGGAGGCTAAGGAGGGGGTGAGGCAGCGTGATTAGGGGATGGAGGACAGGCAGTGTGTTGCATTTTCTCATGATTGAGAAAGTAAGTTGTGTGTTGTCTTTTCAGGATCTTGAAGGGGATGAGAGTATGTTGTTTTTAGTTCATGTTTCTTTGATTCCTTCTCTGCCCAGACTTGCTTAATGCCACCCATCTGCATCATTTTAATAGTGTGTTCAGCACATTGTGCAGAGGCCTTCAGGGCTTCATTATTTCCCTTCCTGATCTCAAATGTTGAGTTGCGTATTTGGACAGGTATGTGGGACACATTCGTTTTGTCAGACAGTAAGGCTTATATGCTGGCTAAATTTATATCCAATCACGATGATTAAAATATTCATATATGGGGAAAACATTTTTTTCAAGGAGTAATAATAATCTCTTCTATCAATCAATATAATCCTTGCATTTTGAAAAGCGCTATATCAAAATGCAAGGATTATAGTCAAAGAATAGTCAAAGGATCCGAGTGCTTTCTGGGACTTAATCATACTTGAAAAATTGTTTCTTATCCAAAATAAAACAACAAACCTGAAGAGAAATTGCACTCTGATGCAAGCCCCAGTAAGTTCTGCAAAGGTTTGGGCTAGACAATACAATACAAATTTACATTTATGTAGCACCTTTCATATCAGAAGGACAACTCAAAGCCCTGGAAATTGAACATGGTAATCAACGTTAATAGATGTTGTAGTTCTTCATGTATTATTACTTTCTCATAGTTAAGTACCAATATTTTTATAGAGCAAGCGCATAGAGATGCTTATATATTCTTTTTCTTTCTGTTGCAGATATTCTGGAAAGAAGCCCAGCAATTTGGGCAATAATACAAGGCTTGTGGAATGGATGCCACAAAATGACTTACTTGGTAAAGAAATCCCTTGTGGAGAAATTACCCACGAGTTTCTATTCTTTGGCTCATTTCAGTTGAAAACAGTAAAAGTTCCTCTGAAGAACTAACAAGTGTATGGTTGCACAACTAATATATATGAGCTTTGTTATAACATGCCCATGAAAGCCAGCCAAAGATTGATCTGAAAAAAAATATTCATTATTACTGAGATCTGGTATTTATTATTATTATTATTCATCGTTCACTCGCCACATGCAACAGAATATTGTCCATCTTGTGGAGACATCTCATCTGCTCCAAAGTAAAAGAAGCTCTGATCTAGGCAGTGCTGCCAGATTTTACTTTGTTGTCAACATAATTAAAAGCTTACTAGACAGCGATATTAATGCGGTTTTAGCTGGTTAGGCTCTAGCAGTTATCCCATCGCACACTCTGGGGTCCCGAAGCCTTGGCTCTTGCTAACCTGCGCCTAATACTTTCCGGAATTGGGTAAGCAGGACGTGTCCCTCCCAAGGGAGAGAGCGCACATTCCATTCCAGCAATCTATCTCTGGGATACATGGAATTCTCAGTTTGGTGTGAATACTCTTCAGCATAGTGATGGGTTACCACATGTATCAGACACCTGGCTGACCAGAAAAAAATCTCTCTTATGAGAGGAAACGTATATTTCCACCATTTGCATTTGTTGCAATTTTTGATACAGTCAGTTTTATCTTAAGCAGCTTCTTGGTATCAAGATATATGAGTTGTGGCCCAGTAACCTTTGTTGGCATGCCTTCTCAACACCACCCCACACCTAAATCACCTCTTGTTGACTGATTTCCCTTACTAGTTGGGCGTATTTTCCGGTTTTCATTTCTCATTTCCTTCATTTGTGGGTCTTTTTGTCCGCTAAATAGATTTGGAATCAAACTATCTGCATTCTAAACTAACTATTTTGTTTATACAACTGTAGGTCACTCAAACATAAAAGGCTTTCTTAGCCACGGGGGTCTGAATGGTATCTTTGAAGCGATGTACCACGGGGTACCTGTAGTTGGAATTCCCCTGTTTGGTGATCATTACGACACTATGACTCGGGTCCATGCAAAAGGTATGGGCATTTCATTAAACTGGAAGACTATGACTGAAGATGATCTATACAACGCCATGGTAACTGTGATTAAAGATCCACGGTAAGAAAGACATTTTTGTCAAATTTAGCAAAATTATAAAGTGTGGTGGGGCACTTTGTTTTCCATCGTTAAGGATGGGACCCAAGTTTGGCTAAAAGAGAATATTTGTATAAACGTTTTATTTAAAATTTTCGATATCTGCATTTGTCCACATTTGGTTTCATATTTTTGGATTAGCACAAATGTTGATCACATTAACATAAACTGAGTTTTGGCACCATTGACTGGACCAAATCATCATCAGAAAAGCATCATCACAGCTGTGGTGGTGGAGTGACGTTCCACTATGGAAAGGTTTAAACCAGGGGTCTCCGACTAGTTGATCAACATTAGGTGTTGTATCGCACGTGCTCAATAAAATCAATATGAAGGAGTGATATTTACTGCATTTCAAATAATAGTTTATATTTGTTTTCAATTGGACTAATAACTATGCAATTCTATTACTCATTCCTCTTGTCTTTTTGATCAAGCGCGAGAGTGCACCTAGCATTGATCGACTAAGACCCCTGGTTTCAACGTATGCAACAAATTCCTGTGTACCGTAAATGCTAATTTACTTTTCTGTTTCAAATTACAATAAAAGTCTACACCCTTTCCATTTCTTGATCTGAATAACAATTGCTTAAAATCGATCATAACAATTCTGACTCGTCAGTCAGTAAGTGACTTGGTTGCATCATGTTTATCATTAGTCTGGTGTTTTGTTTAACTAAATACAAAAATGAAATGAATAATAAGTGCATTTGTTGCATTTTTTAGATACAAGCAACGGGCTGAACAGATGTCTCAAATTCACAGAGACCAGCCTGGGCATCCTGTTAGTCGAACCGTCTACTGGATAAACTACATTCTCCGTTATAGTGGAGCAGAGCATCTTCGTGCTGCTGTTTATAATATCCGGTTCTACCAATACTTCCTGCTGGATGCAGCGCTGCTTGTTTCACTGAGTGTTGTTGTAACATACAAGATAGGATTGTGGATAGTGAAGTTGATTTCCAAAAGATTTTCATCCAAAGTACTGCAGGGTAAAACTAATGGACATTGCTACAATGGTATAGCAAACGGTAAACATCGGAAGAATGGTCACGTCAAACATGAAAAAAAAGTGAAATGAACACCTATGCAGTAATATTGGGAAAGATTTAACCATTAACTATATTGTTGGTGTAATACCACCTGTAACACATTACTGACAGCATTTAGGAAAATAACTTAAAAGTTCACCATTTAACCTCATTTTGCCTAAAGTTCCACGTGCTGACAAAGGACCATTATTGATGAGCACAATTTAAAATGCAATACTGTATATCTGATTCTTCGCATTCCTGCACAAATTACTTTGGCACTGAAACTGTAAGGGCCTTAATTCTTAAAATGTTTTATTATGAATTTTTATAAATTGTTTTGTGATTTACTAAAGTGTGCTGGGTGCCCCAGTTTAAAAAAAAGAAAAACGAAGATGATTAAGGGTTTGATACTTGGATACTTTTTTTTGTTTTAGTGTTGGTAGAAAGATTGTTAGCTGAGGGCTGTAGTAAATAGTATATTACATATTATATTATAAGTTAAATATTTAATTGTGGTGTTGGTACAGTCAATTATTTGACTCAGGTGAAAAAGTTTCACCTGGCGCAATGAGTCTTTTTTAATGGAAATCCTTTTGGCTGGCTGTCCAGATTTATTCAAGGGTCTGCACGGTGTTTCCCCACCATTTTTGTGATTTTTTTTNAATGGATTGGGCACACATCCAGGTTTCCCTTACATATACAAATGCTTCACAGAATCAAAGTCAGCAACCAGTTTTATAGTTGTGAAATGCAAAGAAGTAATGTTTGGTAATTACCCAAGTGCAGTTTCATTGAAGTTGTTTTCCAAAGATAACCTTACCTGTTCAAGTGGTTCATGAGAAGGAAGACAAGTTTATTGTGTACCTTCGAAGCTGTGCATTGTTAGTCTTTGTTATAATTTGCAAATATGGGAAATTTATATTGTTTACAACAAATAGCAGCATATTTGTATAGGTACTTTTTTAACTTTAAGCAGTGTGTCCAAGAAATCAGTAAAGATACTCTGCAAATTCAATTTTAAAAATATGGCATCAGTGATTGGTAACTGATTTTTCCACATCACACTTTACTGAAGTTTAGATTTTTACTACAGTGTAAATTTTCATAGTTCACTTACATATTGATTCCAGTTGAGATGCGCACCAATAACTCGATTGTCCAACATAAGCCAATCTGTCAATGATTGAACAAATCTCATCAGAATTTTAACTTACTGCATAGATGTAAGGAATGTTGCAGGTCATCAGGCTGTTCAATGGATGGACACAATCGATATATGAAAAAGATAGAATTATTGATCCTGTTACTACTTTCCTGATTTGTTCCACTTTATTGGCCTGCTGATGGATGCACAGAGGCTGCGAACATGAGATTGGTTCATGTTTGTCTGGGCTATGATATCACTAACTCCTAAATGTTGTTGCCCATCACTTGCCAAAGTACTTGTTGCATGGCCTTTATATATTTCCATCAGAATGTGGGTGAACAGTGTCAGCTGTTACTGATGATTTGAACCCTGTCTCATCTTGGAAGTTTCTTGTTTTTGAGAATGCTTGGGGCACACAATGCACTCCGTTTTGTAGCTATTCTACTTATAGTAGCCCAGTGCTGCTTCCCTATATCTTTGTCATAGTTGGTCTACAGTGTGACATTGTGTTTACTTACAATATGTACTAGCCCTGCTGTGAGTGTAGATTTTCTTTATTTATTACAATACGATTAGAGTTCATGTAGTTGACAAATTAACTCAGAGCTTCTCATATCCAATATTACTGTGGTCTCTTGAGTTTTGACTAGGTTATGTACCCATATAAAGATTCTATCTTTATCTGTTTCTATCCCACTTGGAGCCACAGTTGGTCACCGAATGTAGGAAATTGGACGGATTTATGAACACTTTTTTAAAAAATGTAATGCTTGAACGAAGAAAGTTTAATGTAAATAAGTTTATGTTGCTTTCATTTCTGTTCAAAGTACTGTGCAATGCTGCCATGAAGTGACCATAGAGAAAGCAGTCAACTGCTTCATGAGGCAATGAGTAGTGGGGTGTTAACTGTGTGGTATTAACACATATACTATATGGAGAGATCTTTTGATTTGTTTTAATATTTGTTTTGCAGTAAAATAACAGCAGATACAATGTCTTCAAGCTGTAGCATAGTTGGGGTAAAGCTGTGAAAAAGCCAAGCAATAAGCACTGATTACACACTGGCCTGGAACTCTTCTTTTTTTAATATATATATGTAAAATGTAAATGTCTAATTCCAGCTACAGTTTTAAATACATACACTGTCATCTGTTATTGCAAAAAAAAAGTTAAATAAATGTAAAACATTCTGGTAGTTGTGTATACACTTCATAATTACTATAAATGAATGTGTACATTGTATGTTCCATTTCATGTGACAAATATATTTGTGCAAGGATCGTGTATACTATTTTATACTTCACCATTGCATTCATACTCTTCATTTGATATATCCATCTTTTGCAGTGGAGGGGGGATGTTAAATAACACTTACATTTTTGCACTCACAATCACAAATTAATGAGGTGGTGTGAAATCTGTTTTTAAGTGATTGTTGATGAATCTACAAATGCACAGCTAATAACACTTTTGGTGTGAACAAAACTTTTAACATTTAATCTGAAATTTCCTTTATTATCACACAAAAGATGTTCTTAAGAACGTGAAACATGTGTGATTGGGAGAGGTTTCCAGAATACCTGAACATATTTGAGCAAGGATCTCTCATCTCACGTGACCCTTCTGTACTTTTTCCTGTTTCTCAATCTGCACCGGTAAATCTTCCAAAGATTTACTGGTGTATGCAATATTTTTTTTAAAAAAAGCAGTTTGATGCTGTGCTGGGAGGATGGTATTCTGGAAAAATGAGAACAGGTGGACCAAACCATCTTCATCCAAACCAATCTTGTGAAACCTTTAAACCTTTTTTTGATTTGCTGGGTGTCTGACACATAGCCATGCTTAAGAATATCGAAGCCAGACTGAGATTTGCACATACAAGTATGACCTTGCACCTAGAAATTTCCCAGTGTCTGGAATGGAATACATTTGTTGTCCCTGGAGGGATGCACTCTGCTTACTTATTGTGGAGAGTATTAGCTGAAGCTTGGGGGTCCCTATAGTGTGTTGACATACTGTTGGAGGTCTGCCGATGTCTGGTCCTTCATCAGCAGAGCCTTGGAATACTGTGGACTTGCCTGGCTCAGGAATCTGACTCCTGAGACCACTCCAGAGGATTTTTTTTTTGAGAAGAAATTATTACCCCCAGAAAAGCAATCCACCAATCAACAACAACAGAATTACATGTATAGAGCGCCTTTCACGTTGGGAGGACGTCCCAAGGCGCTGGACAGTCAGGGGTCAGGACCCAAGCATGGGGGAGGGGTGGGGTAGTGGTGAGGGAAGGCAGAGAGGTGGGAGGGCGACCGAAGGCACGGTCGAAGAGAAGGGTCTTCAGACTGGCCTTGAAGGAGGCAAGGGAGGAAGCGAGGTGAAGGGACCGTGGGATGGAGTTCCAGAGGGTGGGGGCAGAGAGGCTGAAAGCCCGGCCACCGATGGTAGGGTGGGTCGGGCGGGAGACATGGAGCAGACCGGAGCCCGCTGAATGGAGGGAGCGGGCAGGCTGGTAGGGAGTCAGCAGGTCAGAAAGGTAGGAGGGGGCAAGGCCATGGATGGCCTAAAGGTGAGGACGAGAATCTTGAACTCGATCCTCTGGGGGATGGGGAGGCAGTGGAGTCGGGCGAGGGTGGGAGTGATGGGGTCACGGAGCCTGGTGCGTGAGAGTAAACGAGCCGCGGAGTTTTGGATGGTCTGCAGCTTGTGAAGGGAAGAGTTTGGAAGGCCGATGAGGAATTACCTGTGAGCTTCCTGGTGAGCAGCACAACGTAGCCAATGAAATGTGTGAGAACAATGCCACCATCTTTCTGCCCACAGCTTGGACACATATCCTTTCCCATATAATTCCCAGTAGTTCTAGGAGGTGCAGAGCCTGAGCAGCAGCTGCTTACTGTCTGGATACCAACCAAGGTGGAATCCAAGCCCCTGTGAACCTGTGTTCACAAATCCAGGCTCCAGTTAATGCCCTCTGGCAGCTGTTGAATTTTCCTTATCAGCTGTTTTACAGATATCTGCCTTCACATTGGTGGGAGGACCGACACAGGACAATTTGTAACATGCCAGCCACCTTGATGTTTTGGAATCAATATCCAATTCTGCATATCAGCTTTACACAATTTAACTACTTTTCGGTCCTCACGTGAGGGACTTTGGCAAATGCACGTACTTGCCATGAAGCTGACTACACCTAAAAGGTACCGAACAGATCAATGTGGACTAGAGCCTTCCTTCCCCCCTGCAGCCACTTCCCATTTTACCACAAATGCACCTCACCCTTTGGTCCATTTACTTTGTAAACAGATAAAAGAAACCCATCCACTGCATGCCTTGTAGCTTGGAACCACAAACGAGAACTGTTTTGGACACATGTCTTATACACCACATGCTTAACTTACATAGGAACTTTGCTATCATTGAAGAGGGACAGTGTACAAAGCAAAAGTTGGTGTCCACAACACCAAGTTACCGATATGAATCAAATTTTGGGATGATTTCCCCTTGCGTCTTCTAGTCAAATGCAAAGATTATTTTTAAGCAATACCTTCAAGGATCTCCCTCTTGAGCCATTCAAGACCATGTACTGAAATTGAGGGCAGTACCACCATGTCCCACTGAAGTGTTTAAAATAATGAGTGCAGTGTACAAGATCTCCAGGTGAGTCTATCTAGATGCAATATCATCTGCAAACAGAAGTACCCTAATCCTTTTATATATCTGGAACAGATGCACTAAGTCCTTTCTCAATGCTGTCCAATAAATTATTAATGAATACATCAAATACGATGGGTGATGGTGGACAACCTTGCCTTACTCCCTTTCGAGAAGGATACTCACCCGCACAAACCTCTACTCTTATCACACCAGTCCTTACCAGGCTCCACTGGCTTCCAATCACTGAACCGATTGACTTCAAGATTCTTTCACTCGTTTTCAAATCTCTTCATTCCCTCACACCCCCACTAACATATCAGACCTCCCACTCCACCACCCGCTGCCTCCGCTCGGCTGGCTCCAGCTTCATAATTGTCCCCCATGCACTCCGCTCCACCATCCCGCCTAAAGACCTTCCTTTTCGATCGTGCTAACTATCATCTCCCCCCTCCCCTTGGCTTGTTGTCAGACTCCACCACTGTCAAGCACTGCAGGATGCTACCTTGTGTGAAGGGCGCTATATAAATGCAAGTTGCTGTTGGATAGGCTCCATGAGTCTCCCACTAACCCTTACAAGGAATACACATACTAGATGAAATCTGAGATTTGACCACATATTCTTACAGCTTACAGCTTTTTTTTAATGGGGCATTAGGATGTGATGTATATGGATTTTCAGAAGTCTCTGATAAGGTATTACATAAGAGGCTTGTTAAAATGAGCCGTTAATCAACTTTCTATCTATGCTACCCTATTTCCATTAATACCATGCACTTTGATTGTTTTAACAAGCCTTTATAAATAATTAGCACGTCCTGCATGTTTCCTCCCCCGCCCCCCACACACATACACACGTGATTTTAATCAATATCAAAGTACAACTATTTTGAACAAAACGGTTTATTATGCTCTTCTCGTTTCATTCAATCCAATTAAATTATACTTTGTCTCTTCAAAACAATTATTAGATTACTTTTATTAATTTAACTCATCGTGATTATTTGAGAGAGATTATAGACCACAGAAAAATAACATGCACCCCTGCTAAAGATTATGTGCATTGGTACAAATTATAACCAGTCTAGAAAAAACATTTTAAATATGACTTGTTTCCAATCAGGAATATACAATATAAAGGTTGTAATCATTCACGTTTGAGTTTTCAACTAAATTAAATAAATGTTGAAATATATGCAGTTAACCAGCAGTTAACACTGCTAAATTTCTGATAGAAATTCATCAAATTAACTGACAAACAACTCATTGACATCTGTAAATTACTATGCAAACAAACTGCACTGATTAAATGAAATCCATTAAAATAAATCATTAAAGTGAAAGTTAATATATGTATTGGCATTGGACCGCAGCAAAGTACAAGTTGAATTTATATATAATAATAATCCTTGCATTTGATATAACACCTTATTACACCCTCGAGATATCTCAAAGCACTTCACAGGATGTACTGTAAAGTGGATTGACTTGTATTTTGTGGGCGAACAAGGCAGCCGGTTTGCACACAACATTGTCCCAGAAACAGCCATGGAGTGAGAATAAAGAATAAAGGAAAGATTGAGGCACGAAAATTAAATAAAATGCATCTGGCTAGCAGGTCCCGGGACCCATTATTGTATTTAACTTGTCCCCACCCCCCAACACCAGACTTAGTGGAAATGCATAAAACATATTTTTGGGGTTTGCAGTGTTCCACTCTCTTTGCAAAAATAAATTTTCATCACAAAACTTGTTTTTTTGATGAGTGAAGGCCACTATATAAATGCAAGTTGTTGTTGATTGTTTCAATTCTTTTTTAGACAACACAAAAGGCTGACAGGTCACTATGGATTACACTACCATTCATATGCGCAAGTGACATCCATGGCCAACTGATGACCAGGAAGTCAGACATTTTCTCAGTTGAACATATTGATCACAAATACAAAAAAAACTTATTTTATCGTCAATTTTTTTTTTTTTTACCAACCCTGCTTATATAGTGCCTTGTTATGTAGAATGAATGAATGTCTCCAAGTGTATTACAATGAAGAATAGGAGCAGGAAGGGAAGGAGGTGAGAGTTTATTAATGCTGGCCAAAGGCACGATCAGAATAAGAGATATTTGAGAAGGATTTGATACTAGGGAAAGAAGATCTAAAGGAAATAACAAGGTATGAGGAGGTATGAAGAGGAGAATAGGACTGCAAGAGATCTCAGAGATGAGGGTAGAGCAAGATCATGAAGGGATTTGAAAGTCACGTTGAGGATCTTGAAGTCAATCCACTGGGGTTTGCAAACAAACAGTTCTCACCAGCATTATTCTGAAAAATAAAGAATAATGCTGAATGATTTTAATTCCACATTGCTGATTCCTTTATTGCCTCAGTTCATGAATTTTCATCTCTTTACATGGTTCATCCCATTTGTATTCACATTATGTTTGGTGAGTCGAGTGACATATGAAAACCCATTACCATGCTTAAGAGTGTGCAAGCTAGAATGAGAACTGCATGCATGCCACCCACTGATGGAAAACCCCATGTTTGGAAAGGAATGCACACTCTCCTCCTGGAGGGATGCCTCCTGCTTACCTAATTCTGGAAAGTATTAGGCACATGTTGGCAAAAGTCTGTCCCTCCAAGTCCTGCTGACCAGCCAGCTTGGCTGTCATCAACAGTGCCCTGGAGTACTGCAGACCTGCCTGGCTCAGGAACCGGACTACAGAGACCACTGCAGAGGTTGACTCGATTTTGACATTCTGTTGCCAAACATGGCATGTTGGAGCGAGCTCAGCTCCAAGAAGACTCTGTTTACCTTCCCAACCTCTCCCAAGAAAGATAGTCACTTGTTGGTCATTTGACATCTGCCAAGTGCAGGGTTGAGCCCTCACCAGGTGGATGGCAGATACCAAGATCTCCTTGTGAGCTTCCTGTTGGCAACACGGCTCAGCGTGAACTGTGAGAGCATTGTTACAATCATCTTGCCTACAGCTCAGACACACATCTCCACCCAATTGAGCGATGCTTTCACCAGTTGGAGGTGCAGAGTTTGAGCAAAGCTGCTGGCCTCTCTGTAAACCAATCAAGGTGGATTCCAAGCCTTTGATATATGAGCATGTGTTCACAAACCCGGACTGCAGGTAAAACCTTCCAGCAGCTATCATCCCAAGTTTCAAAATGTCCTCATCAGCTATCTGATTTACACGCACATCTTGTGATTTCATTGTTGTAGTTAGGATTGTTTCCTTTCCTTTGTATGTGTGAAAATGATAAATATTTAGAATCAAAAAGTATACGTACGTATTCATCCTCTATTCCATAAACCGTTTTTGGTCAGTCAACAAAATAATCATAGAAATAACAAAATAGCATAGATTTATGCCATAAATCAGGAAATATTCAATCAAGAAACATTTATTTTGTTGGCCAACCAAAGAGATTGTCCACCGTTGCCAATAAACTTTACCTTGTAGTCCCAAAGCATGTTTTATTTCTAGATAGGAAAACCTGCCGTCATTATTTTCATCAAATGGTTTAATTTCTTCTTCTTGCGGTACACGTTCCCCTAGATTATTCATGAGGTCCTCATATGTTAAGTAGCCACGAGCAGCCCAATCTGCTTGATAAAAGAAGGACTGGAGTGCTGTTAGAAGACAAGAGCCATACATATTGATTGCAAAGGTATTTCTCATGTTGTGAGATTCTCAGATTAATTGATCTCGATTTATAAGAGCAGTAACATTAAAAACAAGTGAGCTCCTCCGATGGACTGGTAAAATCACTGTCTGATATGAAAAGTGAGCCATGCACGATGATACCATTCATTATGATGAGAATGACGTATTGTAAATCAAAAAATGCACAGTTAGTTGATCTCAATCGGTTCCAGTAGAGAGAACTATTATTGACTTTGGTTAACCTAGCCTAGGGAGGCGGAGAAAACAATTTCTGCTGGAAACTGTTCAAGTAAAGATTATTGGATCTTTGCTATTATAACACTGTATTGTACATCAATCACTGCTTCCATAGGTTGTCACCTTGACAGTTTCATATTTGAAGAATAGCCATTTGGCCAAGGTACCAGAGCCCTGATAGCCACTGAATTACATCCTAGCATGTGTCATCATATTCAACACACACTACACGTGACAGTTGTTACTGTAAAATGAATTCATTTGTTTTGACGTAAAACACTTTTAATTGTAACACGTTTCTGTGGGAACCAACTGAAAACCTGAAAATGCTCAGAATCTGAATTGTTTCATATAAAAATATGCTGGAAATTCACAGCTGGTGAATTGCAAGACTAATAGGTTTCAAATATCCACCTTGACCAGAAAGTGACATGGTACTTGGGGATAAGAACATAAGAACTTAAGAATTAGGAGCAGGAGTAGGCCATTTGCCCCATTCAATAATATCCTGGCTGATCTATTCTAACTCCACCTACCCGCCTTATCCCCATATCCCTTAATCCCTTTATCCACAAGAAACCTATCGATCTCAGTCTTGAATATGTTCAATGACTGAGCATCTACAGTCCTTTGGGGTAGAGAATTCCATAAATTCACTACCCTCTGAGTGAAGAAGTTTTTCCTCAATTCAATGCGAAAGGGCTTACCCCTAATTTTAAGACTGTGACCCCTGGTTATAGTTTCTCCAACCAGGGGAAAAAGTCTCCCACTATCTATTCTGTCATGCCCCTTAATAATCTTATAGGTTTCTATAAGATCACCTCTCACTCTTCCATATTCTAGAGAATATAGGCCTAAATTGCTCAACCTATCCTCATAACTCATCCCCCTCATCCCCGGTACCAGCCTAGTGAATCTATGCTGTACTCCCTCCAAGGCAAGTACATCCTTTCTTAAATAAGGAGACCAAAACTACACACAATACTCTAGGTAAGGTCTCCCCAGGGCCCTACACAGTTGCTGCAACTTCTCTACTCTTATACTCTAACCCTTTGCTAACAAATGCCAACATACCATTAGCCTTCCTAATTGCTTGCTGTACTTGCAAACTAACTTTTTGTGACTGGTGTATACAAGGACACCCAAGTCCCTCTGAATGCTAACACTATCTAGTCTCTCAGTTCCAATGAAAGGCAACACCTGAAATAACTACCTGTACTTCTCTCTCAGATGCTGATCAGCCTGTCGTGGATTTTAAGAACTGCCTGTGCTGTTTCACAAGTCATTCTACTGAAAATGAAGCCGCTGAGCAGTAACTTACTATAGCTTGGGACATGCTGCAAATGCACTGCCACAGTACCTGAAGGGTTAATTGACAACACTTACACATTTTAATAATCCCCCCCATAAAATGGTCAGTCAATCCACAACTGTCTTTGGGACACTGCTGTGCGCAATTGGCTGCTGCATTTTGCCCACAAAATATACAGTCAATTTACAGTATATTCTGTGAAGCGCTTTGAGATGACTTGAAGACATGATAAGGCGTTTATCAAATGCAAGAATTATTATTATATTAATCTAGCACTCACCTCTCAGACTCTTTATCGAGGAAATCACAACAACATTTGTGACAGATGGCTTCCTTGTGAAACTCTCTGTAGTTGCTTGTCTCATCTGGACATCTGGAACTGAAGTAACAAATTAGATTGAAAATGTTTACCCAGATCAATGTAAAGCTTAAAATATGTTATTCCTTATGTTGGATCTTTCCTACTGCGCAATGATGAGCTGGTGAACTAATAATAATAATAATTGCATTTGGTATAGTGTCTTCCATGTCAAGAAGATGTCTCAAAGCTCTTCACGGGATTTACTGTAATGTGTAGTGGCTGTATATTTTTGTAGCCAAACTTAAATATTGTTGAAAAGAAGCTTAAGACACTCAGATTAAAATGGACCTCTATCATCATAAGTTCATCATAACTTGGTTATTGTCATATTAACAATATTGCAGTGTGGTTTGGGAGTAAAGGGAAATAGAGGCTGTCCGAAAAGTCCAAGTTTGAGAGCCTGTACCAGTGTGCTAGTTCTCACTGGTAACACATTAGTGTGTAGCACAAGAATCGCTCCCCTTGGAGTGCTGTGTCGCATGTGCTGTTAATATTAAAGTAATGATTGGACCTTTGCTATTAAACACAGTTTTGTGCATCAATCACTGCTTCCATAAGTTGTTACCTTGTTGATGTTTCCTCTCATAGCCTATTGGTGATGTACTATCAGTAGTCTCAGTCTGCGGAGGTGAATATGTGGTAGTTTCAAAGTGAAATTGTGGCATGTCTGAGTCAGTTTGATTTGTACGATTCAGAGCATTGTCTTCCTGATAGAACTCATCTCTCAGCTGGGAGATTTGCTGGTAGACATTATCCAGTCTCTAAAGTAAATAGAGAGCAAATTAAACACCTAAGGACCATTCAAGATGTTTTTCAACCATAAAATAAAAAGCCATTTTCATTTTCATTGATGTCAATGAAAGAGAGAATATTGAGGACAAAAAATCAGTTCCAAAAAAAGGGCACGTTTGGTGTAAATTGGTAACAAAAAAATCTCACTCACACTGGGTTCAAAAATTACATGCGAACATGTGGTTTACAGCTGCACCGTGATGTACATGCATCCAGAAACCCCAAATGCCAAAAAAAAACACAATTGTAATGTCAGGGATAAAATCACCCTTTACCAATCGACTATTACCAAAAAATCCAGGTATTTATTGATGAAAATCAAGGAAAAAAATTGACGTTAAAAGATCCCTATAAACACAGTATATTTGAAAATACGTTGATGCAGAAGCTTAATTTACAGTATTGTGGTCAAGACTTAATCCCAAGGTGGCTGATATGTATATCTAAGTTTTGGGTCAATCCAATAGCAGTAGGAAAGATTTAATCAATGCTCAGAATGCCTGACAAAGATGTAGCATCATATAGACCTTATTCCTGTTGTCCTGAAGAAAGTTCAGATCCTATCTGAGCACGGGAACAATCGTTCCTAGTTACATTGTTAACCCATGTTTGTATATTTGTTTCTGCAGAGAAAATATGGTTCAAATGTTATCCTTGTCTCAACTTGTAAGACTATTTTGTCTTAAAATTTATGATTTATGTTTGAACCGAATTGTGTAAAATTCTTAAATTCAGCCTTAATTTGGAAGTTGGTTCTTTTTCACTAGGATGGAAATCCGGTTTCCCAAACCAAGGCTGCACTTAAGAATCATCCACGATTTTATGCAAACCTAAATTTAAAATGCAATAGACATACTTGGAGGAATTTCTGGCCTTCTGTGTGGTCACTAATCCTCACGCTCTGTGACTTTGTATTGAATTGATCCAATTGCCTAGTATGTATCCTTGAAATACTTCCAAAAAACAATGTATGTTTGGTAATAGCCACTAGAATGTATGCTTTACAATACGTATAACATTTTAATAAGGGTTGTAGACTGACACGTAGAAACAATATTAAAATAGTACTAACCTGATCCAGTTGGATTTGGAGAGTTTTCAAATCATCGGAGCCATTTTGTACTTTTCTTACTGATTCTTCAAACTGGTAGAGTTCATTGGCCTGAACAAAAAGTGAACATTTTTATTTTACATCATGGCAGAAACCTGGCTATATAGTTTGTTGAAAATCGTGCTCAGGCCAGGGAGAGGACAATCTCCATCTTTCTTCACCAGAATGTGGTTGAAAAATAATAATAAAAATAAACAAACAAAAAAATCGAAACCAGTTCTACCAATCAGAATTGAAAAAAAATCTTGTTGCTTCATTTTAAATCGCCCACAAAACGTATCGTCACTCCACTTTACTATATTACCTTGTGAAGCGCTTTGGGATGTCCTCTTGACATGAAAGGCACAATACCAAATGCAAAGATTATTTCATTTATTATTAATAATAAATCAAAATAGCATTGATCAAGCAGAAAAGAAAGGGTGGTGGTGGTGGTGGGGGGGCGTGGGGGGTGCGGGGTTGGGAGAGAAGCATTCTCCAGTATCTGGAGAGATGTTCTGTCTTAGCCAATCATTTAGGGTTAGACACAAAATGATAATTATAACAATTATCACATTGAACACTTATGAACTGCAGCTAGCTTAAACTTAACACAACAACAACAGCTTGCATTTATATAGCGCCCTTTACATGGGATAGCGTCCAGAAATGCTTGACTAAGTCCACGTGTTACAGCCTGTGGTTGTAAAGAAGTATGCATTGCATCTTTGAGCTCTACAATAGAGACATGAGACATAGCCTCCAGCAGATTAGATTGCATGTGCTTTCATAATATTAATTGCGAGGCACCAGAAAATAGCCCCAGGCTGTGGCATTCTGTGTAGCTGCTTTGAATCAGACACGAATAGACAATTGTACAATACTTTGCATAGCTGAAAAGCAGGTACAGCAAGATTCATACAAATAACATCCAAAAATAATTTTAAAGAAAAATTGGCATTGAACCAACAACTAATTATAAACCATGTTATAAGGGCGACTTAAAAATCTTTGGGTAGAAGACAAAATATCGAGGTTAAAGATTTACTGCTGGGTCTGAAGGAAGGTAACTTTGTATACCAACTTAACTTATAGTTACAACTTGTAGTCTAGAAGACGTGAAAAGCGCTATATCAAATGCAAGTATTATTATTATTATAGAACTTTTTACATGTTAATCTTCACTTTCAAGTACCTAAACAATGCAGTAATGCAATGAGGAAAGCTAATTCATTGTTGGGATAAAAAGAACAGTAGCGAATACAGTAGTTGTGCTGAAGCATTTCTGATGGACTGGTTAGACTACATCACTGGAGTTTTATTGAATTGACTGTATATTTCGCCCACTAAATACAGTCAGTTCACTTTACAGTATATTATTCGATGAAGCACTTTGAACGTCTCGAATACGTGATCAGGCGCTATATCAAATGCCAGAATTATTATTATTATGTATTATTATATTCAGTTTTGATCACCACATTACAAACAGGATATAGAGTAACAGTAAAAGTTTACCTGATTGTACAGGATGCAGAAAGTTAGCTAGATTGAAAAATTCCATTCCCCAGCTTGGAAATCCCCTAATGAGTCTAATAACATCGCTAAGATCTTCACCAACAAAGCACACAGTCACTATATTTTACAGCAAAATCCTGTGAAGTGCTTTGCTCTATTCTCCCAATGGGAAAGGCATATAACCAATGCAAGGATTATTATTGTTCATATCAATAAAACAGCATGGTCGCATTTTTCTTAGACATTTTTAATACAAAATCATAATTTTGCTTAATTATCCAAAATGTTCAAATATATATATTAGAATTTAAAGCTGCTGAATGGAATATTTCTTGTTATTCTTAATAATATTCCTTATTGCTCTTATTTGAATTGTAAAATGCTGCAGTTTAATGTACACATTCACATGCTGTTAAGGTACCTGTACTTCTCTGCACTTTAGATAACAATATGGCTATTTTGACAAAATCCGAAGACTGGATTTTGTCCAAGATTCTCACTGATAAATTGGCATAAGGTAGAATTTCAAAAGCAATTAATATACTGCATTCTACAGATATACTATATATGCATCCACATGCACAGTATCCAAATCCCAGATTTTAACAATGATGTTCTGTTCCAGCACCGTTTAGTCACTGCTAATGTTTACACCCCTGAGTAACAGGGTGTAGCTTTTAAACTCTGGTAATAAATAGTTGGTAAAAAGACTAAAGAATGACTTCCTTTCATATATTTTGGTAATTAAAGCAGGAACTCAGGCATACCAAATGGTAGGTTGCACTCACAATGGATTTCTGATTTTGAGTCAAGTATTGGCAGTGAGCTGTGTTCTGGAAGAGATCCAGAGCATATATCCATTTCCCCTTCAACTGGTAAGTGCAAACCTGATTATAAGTCCGCACTTTCTTTCAGTCTGTTCATTTGTTTCAAAAGATTAGTATTTTTTCCCTATCTTAATCTGTTCATTCCTTTGATCTTCTCTGACTGAAACTTGTGCCCCTTTCCCTCTTGCTTACAATCCACCATGACCTCATTCCATGCCTTTGAGCGCATTTCCATCACTCAATGGATCTTTTGTTGTCTTCCTGCAGTGCCCAGAAATAACTCTTACACAACTCGTGTCTCAAGTAGCCCCTGCTCCTTTAATAAGGAGTTGCCTGTGCTTACACCCTCTTAGCCCTCTGAATCCTCTAATCTTTCCGCTCCAATCTGATTATGTGCATCCCTATTGTTGGAAAGTTAAGGTGACTTAAAACCATGAATATACAAGAGTGTTATCAGCTTCATCAGGATAAACGCTTCAGAAACTTGATACTAAACCTGTGTGTTTATGAGCCTTCTAAGGGTCAGCAAACTTGTTTCCATGGTGCTGAGTTTGCGGGTGAGATCAGATATCAAGGTGTCAAATGCATGAATCTTTCCTTTTACTTGAGTGGAGCTGGAGACACTAGACTCATTCACTTTGTGGATGAATTCATACAGGCTGGAAAATTCCTGTAAAAGAAACACAGCAAAGTGGCTGGTCAAATAAGTTTTCTAATTTTTTAAAATATTATTGTAGAAGTATTCTGGATAAAAAATACTCTACTTCCTACAAAAAGCCATTATACAGGTGATAGGATTAAGACTGAGAACTGTTGTATTACTCTGAGCCTAGCAAGTATATATCAAAGTTAATATCAATAGAAATCTGATGCACACACATAAGATGTCTCAGAAGGCAGCCTCGCCTTGGAGTCAAAAGGTTCAAGCCCCACATCAGGACTTTGAATTCCCATACTCAAGGATGACACTCCAGTGTAGTGCTGGAGGTGCACTTCTTTGTTGGAGGTGCCATTCTTTGGGTAAGGTGGTAAACTGAGGTCAGGTTTGCCTATTTAGGTAGAAGTTGAAGATCCAACGGCACAATTTGAAAAGAGAAGGAAGTTTCTCCTGGTGTCTTGGCTAAAAATCCTCCAAATAAAATTGATCATTCACTACATGGCTGTTTGTGGGACTCTACTGTGCAAAAAATTGACTGCTGCATTCACCTACAAAATACTCTGCTCTTTACAGTATATCTTGTCAAGCGGTTTAAGACATTCTCTTGCCATGAAAGAAAGGTGCTATATCAAATGTAAGGATTACTATTTTTAATTAAGATACCACAGAGAGAGAGTGTCTTGCCACCTCAAGACTGCTCATAATTAAATGTCTGGGTCTACATCCCAATTGCATGATAAACAACCCCATATATTTTAATGAAACACTTTATAACAGAGAGCTACGTAATCAAATAAAGCTACATTATTCCTTTTTTAAACTAAACTAAGCCACAAAAATCACCCATGCATTTGTCTGTCAACTATTGTCTCTGGCAACTTTCCTTTAATGGCAATTCAAGCATTTCTTTTAATAACATTGATTTGTACAAAGATAGTAATAAATGACTCCTTCTTTCTAAGCACTTTTTCAGCTTTAATGTAGAAGGTGGTTGCAATGGAACAAAACTAATTTCATTTTATATTAGTTAGCATTGACTTGCTGCACGTGCCACATTTTTTTCTATATAACAAATCACCAAATCTATACGAGGGACAGCATAGATTTATTGTGTTTAATAAAACAGCAAGGAGAACTCTTTCAATTTTCGTATCAAAGTCCAGTACAACGTGTTGGTTGGATCCATAAATCTTTGCAATGAGGTCCGTGGGTTTCACTATACAAGCAGGAAGCGATGTTGACGTCAACCTTACTGATCTGGATGTCAGCACAGAGTGATCGAGCTCCACACACACGCAGATGAATGGGCTCCACAGTGCAACTGTGTTATAATTGAATTTGTGCAATAAAGAAAGCCCTTATAATGGGGTCACACTGTATCTTTATTTGGTCAAACATCAACAGGAGTACCTATCATACAGTTTAAAAATCGTATTATTGACTAAATAGGGGGCTGTTATCTTGTATAAATACATTGTGGTGGATTGATTTGATTCAAAACAGCTGCCTTATTCTACCCTTTACTTGTTGTGGTGTATTTTATTTGTTTAGATGTCAGAGATGATACAGGCTGAATTAACATGGCACCCAGGCATCAGCAACTCAATTCAATTGAACATAACCAGATTTTCCTCTCTCAATTCTACTTCTTACACAGTAGAACACCTTATACCTGCACACTAACTATCGCATGTCTACTTATCCACATTGGGCTCTGATGCGGAAATAAATGTGGAGCTGTGATACTGACAAAAACATTCAGTTGCTCGCACAAGTGTGAGGTTATTCATGTGGAATCTACTCCCACAGCTACGAAATGTGGGTTTAGCAACATCATGCACATTCTTTCCCCCCACATTATGAAGATGTTTCGCTGTGTAAAGTGGGTTAGAGGCAGAGAAAGAAACAGAGATAGAAAAAGGAATAGTCATAGACAGAGTGAGGGGCATAGAGAAAGTTATTGAGAGATAGAAATTTAGACAGACTCAGAAAGATAGCGACTCAAAGAGAAAAAGAGAGAAACATTTGGAGAGAAAGAGACAGAGAAGGATTGGCACAGTGAGGTACTATAGAGTCAACTCTTGACAAACAATTTTTTAAAGTTAACATCATAGTTAATTTGTATTTTATGTGATGTTCAATTATCCACACTGTTTGCTTATCTTTAATTTTGATGCCAATTATTGCTAATAATCCACGCTTCACAACAAAAACAACAACTTGCATTTATATAGAGCCTTCTACGCAGTGGCGCAGAATGCTTAATAGCAACGGAGCCTGACTTCGAGCTGGGTGGGTGGGGGAGGTGTGGGTGTTGGTGGCCATAAACACGGAAGAAGAGGAAGGTTTTCAGGTGGGACTTGAAAAAGGGGAGAGAGGGGGCAAGGCGGCGGGATTGAGGGGGAGTTTTCCAGAGTTTCGGAGTTTAGTGACTGAAAGCGCGACCTGCAATGATGGGGCAGAGAAAATATTTAACCTCGGGATCGTAGAAATTTGCAACAGAGAATGCTGGTGGCTGTTCTATCTACTCCAGTCCCATTCCCCTAACCTTTTCCTTCCGTCATTAAAAGTCCACCTCAAGCCCGCACTTTTAGTCATCTTTTCCCTCCCCACCTCTTTGGCTCCCACCTCTCAGGCCTGATGTCCCTAAAGCAGTGTCAAGTCTTTGAGACATTCTCCTAATGTAAAAGGCACTATATACATGTAAATTGTATTTAATAAATGGAAATATAAGTTGCATTGTATTCAAATTAATTCGGCAGAAGGAAATGAAGAGAATAGATTATTAAAGCTAATGGCTTGAAGCACCATAATGCACAATTAATTGGCCCAAATGTCAAGCACTGGTAAAAGAAGCAATTTAACCCTAAAGTCAATTTAAATGAAACAAAAGCAAAATGCTGCAGACGTGGAAAATTTCAAATAAAAACAGAATTGCATCAGAAAGAGAAAGATGGGCTGGCATTTTGGGCATAACTGTTCACCAGAGCTGATGTGCAGGAGGCCATATTGGGCAGAAGGACACAATGCAAAGACAAATCTTTTCCAGTAATTCCACTGTCCTTTCATTTCAAAGCAGCCAAATTGAGGGCCACATATAATGAAAACACACTACAAGTCTGTTACCTGGTCATCAGTCATTTTATTCATTCTCTCCACATTGTCCTTTAACTCTTCACGTTCAGCTTGCAGTAAGCCCAGCTCTCCTCTGATATGAATAATGTCATCCTCCAGAGTGCTAATTTTCTGTTATAATAAATGCATACAATTTGTGTCAATAATAACCCAAATTTTACTCAATAGATAACTTTCATCAGAACTATTGTGAAATTATAACATTTGCACACCATTCAAATGTCATTCACTACTGAAAGGCCATTCAGCTACCTAAATTCAGTCACTGGGCTCAACAGTAAATCCTGTTAAGTGATTTTGATGGCCTTCTATATGAAAGTGACTATGTCAAATACGAATTATTATTTATTATTACCATATAATTCTCTATATCATCCAATAAAGTAAACCATCATCTCACTTGTGGTTAAATCATAAACTGCACTAATCTGTATATTATTTGGAATAACACAGTTTGGAGTATGTCCCAAGACAGCAAACAATCCAATTGAGAGACCAATGATAAACCACTTGCATTTTGTTAGTGTTCAGGACATCAATTTATATAAAAAATGCTGATTTAAATCTGACAATTATGTTTTCAAATACTAGTCCCATATATCTCCTGTCAATCAACTAAACCCCCTGATAATAATAATAATAATAATAATCCTTGCATTTGATATAGCGCTTTTCACGTCGGGAGGACGTCCCAAAGCGCTTCACAGAACACACTGTAAAGTGAATTGACTGTATATTTGTGGGCGAACGCGGCAGCCAATTGCGCACAGCAATGTCCCACAAACAGTCGTAGATTGAAAATGACCAATTTAATTATTGTTTTTGGTTTTTTGGAGGGATTATTATTAGGCGTGTGGAGTAAGGAAACTTGCCCAAGGTTTCGCCCTCTGCCTGGAATTGAACTCAGGTCTCTCACTTGCAAAGCGAGTGCTCTAACCACTGAGCTACAGGACTCCACAAACTTGATAACTTGATACTACAAGGAGAAGGGCTCAGTGTATGTATGAATACATAAATAAATGTAGCTGGGATATTGACAGCATGGTGACTTAAATGATAGTGACAAGTTAAGCCAAGTTCAGGTTATCAGGAGGTTACAGTCAAATAATTGCTGAGCATTTATGAAGAAATAATTATTAAATTATTCATTTAGGGGATCCATATGGAGCTCATTGAGAGCTAGTGTCAATATAGATAGCCACCACCAACTAGATAAATTGACCAAAATAGAATAGATCCCTAACAATAATGTGAACGAGCAATATCAACGCTGTGACATAATGTCGTGAAGCAAATTGCACTGAATATGTAATTCCCAGTCCTCTATGAACTAGCACTGAGTGAGGCAATCCATAGGGCAGCCGCTTCAAAGTCTCTGCCAGACAGCTCATCAGCAAGTAGATTTGGACCTAATCGTTCACAGTCATATGGGGTTGGTGTTTTCCCCTCAGCCAGTTATCAACTGAGACATTGCCAGTAACATAAAATCTGACAATGTGATCGTTATCACTATTGTTGCATTTTCACCTGAACATTTCACCCACAAAATATACAGTCAATTCACTTACAGTATATTCTGTGAAGCACTTTGAGATGTCCCAAAAAAGCGCTATATCAAATGCAAAGATCATTATTATTATTACAGGCTTCACATACTGTACCTTGTCTATCATCGCTATATTATGTGGATGGTTCACATCTGATTCTGCATTTTGCAACTTTTTGCTTCGGGAAAGGGAAAATGTAATCTCCTCAAGCTGTAAAACAAATTATGTGAATGTGAAGAATTACAAACACAAATTATTTTCACCATTTTACAAGAAAGTCATTTTTAACAAAGGACCTTCAAGAAAAAGAAAAACAAGAAAATTAAAAAAAGAATACAAGCTACAGATGGGTAGCGTTTAAAATGCAAAAGATACAACAACAACAAATTGCATTCATAAGACTGTATTGTCTTCCCATTAGTGTATCAGATACATTTCTATGGCATGGTACAAATACGAATCTATACATGACATTTGAATGGAACATTATTTTTAAGGCAAAATTTCCTTAGGCAGCAATTAATTCTCCTGCTTAAAGTATAATATTGATCAGCAATCAGATAAATGGAATTATTTGTGCCCACAAAGGACAAACATCTCCCAGACAGATTTGTGCTCATATACCACAAGAGCTTTTCGGAAAATAATCATTGGCCCATTTTGATCTCATCCTTCCATCCCAACCACCCTCATATTCCAGTATTAAGCTGCTTGTGTATAGCTTGTTATGGGTTTACCTTCTCATATAAATCCTCCACTTTGGATTTCAGTTCCGCATTTCCTTCTCCAAGGCTCCCCTCGACAGAAGGCATCTTAACAGACTGCTGAGTGAGTTGTTCTGAGAGATGTCAACATAAAAAACAAACAAGCAATAAACGTGTCAAAAGAAGACTTTTAAAAGGAAACATTAAGTATGATATTTTCTGAAACAGAAACAGGCTATTTCAGACAGTATTCAAGATCCTGCATAAATGATCAACTAATAACCAAAATGCTGCAGATGCTGGAAATCTGAAACAAAAACAGAAGTCGCTGGGAATACTCAGAAGGTCAGGCAGCTTCTACAAAGAAAGGAAAGTGAGTCAATGTTTCAGGTCCACGATCCTTCGTCAGGTTGGGGCATATTGGGAGGGAGAGGCTTTTAAGGGCTAACAGAGAGGAAGGAGGCAGGACAAGGAAGACAAATGAGAAAATGGGGTAGAGGACAGGGGGTGATGGGTTAAAGAGGTGCTAATGATGCAAGTCAAAACAGATTGATAAAACAGGGGAATAGAGGTATTAATAATGCAGAACAAAGGTGGGTGGGGGTGGTGGGGGAAGCAACAAAACAGGTAGACCAGAGAGAGAAAAGTGTCTCTGGGACCCAGATGATGTGGTAATGGTCACAGAAGAGGGGGTGGGGGAAGGTGAGGTGTTATGGCCTGAAATTATTGAAATCAATATTGAGGCCAGAGGGCTGTAAGGTCCTAGCAGGTAGATGAGGTGCTGTTCGTCGAGCTTGCGCTGTGCTCATTGGAACAACGCAGGAGACCATGGATGGAGAGGTCAGCGTGCGAGTGGGAGGGAGAGTTGAAGTGGCAAGAAACCGAAAGTTCAGGGTTGTGCTTGTGGACAGAACAGAGGTGTTCAGCAAATCAGTCACCCAATCTACGTTTCGTCTCCCCAGTGTAGAGGAGACCACATCGTGAGCAGTGAATGGAGTAAAGTGGAGTCCTGTAGCTCAGTGGTTAGAGCACTCGCTTTGCAAGCAAGAGACCTGAGTTCAATTCCAGGCAGAGGGCGAAACCTTGGGCAAGTTTTCTTACTCCACACGCCTAATAATAATCCCTCCAAAAAAACCAAAAAAAACAATAATAAATTGGTCATTTTCAATCTACGACTGTTTGTGGGACATTGCTGTGCGCAATTGGCTGCAGCATTCGCCCACAAATATACAGTCAATTCACTTTACAGTGTGTTCTGTGAAGTGCTTTGGGACATCCTCCCGACGTGAAAAAGCGCTATATCAAATGCAAAGATTATTATTATTATTATTACATTGGTGATAGTGCACAAAAATCACTGTTTAACTTGAAAACTGTGTTTGGGGCCCTGGACAGTGGTATGGGAGGAGGTGAAAGGGCAGGTATTGCATCTCCTGCACTTGGCATGGGAAGGTGCCAGGTGGAGGAGAGCAATTGTTGGTGGTGATGGAGGAATGAACCAGGGAGTCACAGAGGGAACTGTCCCTTTGGAATGCTGAGAGGGGAGGGGAGGGAAAAATATGTTTTTTGGTTGGATCATGCTGGAGATGCCGGAAATGGCCAAGAATTATTTGTTGGATGTTGAAGCTGGTGGATTGGATGGTGAGGACTCAGAAGAGGGGGAGGGGGTGAGCAGAGTTAAGGGAAATAGAGCGGACACAGTCAAGGGCCCTGCCTACTACAATGGATGGGAATCCTCGGTCAAGGTAAAAGGAATACATTTCAGTTGTTCTGGTGTGAAAGGTGGTTTCATCAGAGCGGTAGAGGCGGAGGAACTGGGTAAAGGGAATGGAGTCTTTACAGGAGGTAGGGTGGGAGGAGGTATAGTCCAGGTAACTGTGGGAGTTGGTGGGATTGTAAAAGATATCTGTAGATATCTGTACAGATATCTTTTTCCCCCCTTTGTTTGCATCATTAATACCTCTTTAATCCATCATTCCCTGTTCTCTACCCCATTTTCTCCTTTGTCTTCTTTGTCCTGCCTCCCACCTCTCTGTTAGTCCTTAACAGCCTCTCCCTCCCAACATGCCCCAGTTCTGACTTACTTTCCTTTTTCCATAGATGCTGTCTGATAGATGCTGAGTATTCCTAGCGACTTCTGTTAATAGCTATCCATCTTGGGAGAGGAGAAGGAAAGGAAAGTATGGTCTCCTAGGAACTGAGCTAGCAATAATAATAATATAATAATAATAATCCTTGTATTTGATATAGCACTTTATCACGTCTTCAAGACATCTCAAAGAGCTTCACTGAATATACTGTAAAGTGAATTGACTGTACAGTTTGTGGGTGAAACGTGGCAGCCAATTGTGCACAGCAGTGTCCCACAAACAGTCGTGTATTGAGTGACCAATTTATTAATTTTTTTGAAGGAATTATTTCCTTGCTAGGCACACAGAGGATCAGATAAGCCTCCACCACCCATCTTCAAAAAGCATGAGATACAGAGAATAGTTCCACTGAGAACTCGAAGCACATATCCATCTCCTCCTCCTTACTCATATGATAAGCTATGAGTCTAGAAAGAGCAAGATTCAATGATCAATCATGACTGAAGATACACCCACCCACCTACTTGTTTTGGAATGGAATGTCAAAATGGAGACAACTCTGGTGGTCGCAGTTGAGTGGTTCCTGTGCCAGACTCCGCTGTAACTTCAAAGAATTACTGACGATAAACCAGTCAGTCTGGCACATCGGCAGGACTTGGAGGGGCAGTGATTCTTCCTTTTCAGCAACAATACACTAACAGGTGGAGCTAGCTGGACAAGCAGCTTGACAGACAGTGCTTCCAATGGCTGGTTAAACTCTAGCAGTACCCCTCATCCAATCTGTGGTCCCCACAGCCCGATTATTAGTGCATTTAATACTCTACTGAATTAGGTAAGCAGGGTGTCGCCATTGTGCATTCCTATCCAGACAGAGGGAAGGTTCCATGTATGATGTTCCATGCATATGTGCAACTCTCAGTTTGGTTTGGAAACTCTTGTGTAAGCCTGGTAACAGGTTTTCACACGTGCCAGAGAGATGAGAGAGAAAATAAGTACATTAATAATATTTTTTTTAAAATGAGAAAATAATCATTAAAACCTTTAATAAATAATAAAGGCGAAATGTGATGCTTCATAGAGTCATAGAATATTACAGCACAGAAGAAGACCATTCGGCCGATCGTTTATTTTAAAAATTATCACATTGAAGCTGTTGTGAAACATTTAATTATGTATCTTCAAAGAGCTCAGCGGTGAACTGTTTTAAGTCTGGGCTGTGGTTGCATTGATCTGCTGACATGAGTTATGAACCCTGCAGCAAATTTGATTTTAGATGTTGGTAACTAAGACTCAGCAAGTCACACAATGAGCTTTTAACAGGTTTTACTTTTTACTTTATGAAGAATATCATAATTAGCCTTTCAACTCCTCAAAGTATTATCAGAGCAACCTGTCTTGTCTAACAACAACAAGTCAGTAAATTAAATTCCATTGATCTAGTACAAAGGAAGAGAGCCACCCTTCTTCTAAATGCAATTCTCAACTTTTCACCTGCTCAAATCTCGCTCATCCTTGGGACACCTTGAGGACTGTGCAGCAACAAAGTGCACCTATGTTCACCTAGATCAGGTGTACTGCTTATTTATCAGGGAAGAGTGTAATAATCAGGCACAAGTAATATGAAGGTAAGGATGAAAGAAAAGACAATTATCCATCCATGTTGCCTTTTCATTAGTACCACGTACCAAACACCCACTATCAATGTTTCCTAGCACCAGAATATACCCACCTTCCTACTAAAGGATGTCATGCAACAGTGAAAGAACATCTCAGCGATGAAAAATTGTCTGACGATGTAATAAGGCTTATGTTAAACACAAGGAGTATTTATATTCAAGGATTATTATATACTGCCTCATTCGGGCAATGTTCTGCTTTCACAATTGGAGATTTATTTTGCAGCTCCAGAAAATATTATCACAATTCCAATGCTGATAGTAAAAGGACAAGTTATAAAGAAATACATTGCATTTCAAAACATTTCTTTATTCACTCTTACATTGCATGAAAAACGTTGTAAAACGGTTTATCTTCATGATGCTGCAAAGTCATTGTATGTTGAGTTGCTAATATGTACTGCAGATACATATTAGTTGGGGCTTCAGTTATGTGGAGAAACGAGCGAAGCTGGGATTGTTCTCCTCAGAGCAGAGAAGTTGGCCTGGTTGTTGGCCTTAATGAAGTTAAGGTGACATTTAATAGAGGTGTTCAAAATGATGATAGGTTTTCATAGAGTAAATATTGAGAAACTAGTTCCACTGGTGGTTGGTTCGGTTGGTAACCAGGACACAGATTTAAGATAATTGGCAAAAGAACCAGAGTTCTTTGGCAGTGAGTTAAGCTGTGAGTTGTTACGATCTGGAATGCACTGCATGAAAGAATGGTGTAAACAGATTCAATAATAACTTTCAAAATGGAATATATAATAATAATTGGATAGATACTTGAAAAGAAAAGATTGCAATGCTATGGGGGAGTAGGACTAATTGGACAGCAATTTCAAAGATCTGGCACAGGCATGTGGGCGTGAAATTCTTCTTGCTGTTAAATACTAACTTTGATGATGGGTGCTTCTAGACTTGGACTATTCTTATGGTAACCCATGGTTATGCAGGTGTTTAATTTCTGCACAGCAGATTCATGTTTTTTTTAATTAATGAAGGGTAAATATTTTTACTCAGAGTATGGTATGTCCTCTGGCTGGAGTGGAGAGATATGAAGTAGTAGGAGTCAGGTGGTTGACAAATGAATCAGTTGCAGTCAGACAGTGTTCGGACTAAGTTCACCATCTTCCCACTTTTGTGTATGTATTTTCTAAAATTATTCATTATCTCTATTCGTATCTCTATTCATCTCTAAGGGTACGGTCTGATCCTATGTTATCATGTGGTGCAACCTGCACCATAATGTTATTATTTCACATTATCTCTGGCACGCCACTTGTACAAACAAAGGCTATGAGTCATTGACATGGAATTTCCATGTTTCCTAATCTGTTCTTCGTGGTAACTGTCTCATGCAGTAAATTATGAAATGCCACAAACTTCAGCCCAATTCAACTGACCCTTGTAGGGTGCAGAAACAAAATTATTTCCTGTACTGCATCGACCCACATATTCACATCTCTTTAAAGACATCTCTAAATTATCGAGGAGCTCAGAAATTGTTGGACCTCAACACAAGGAATGGGAAAAGATCCTCTTACATGCATAACTATTAGGATATTCCACCAGTTTGAAAATGTCAGTGCAATTTCATACAAGAAAGAGGCTGCTAGCTCTTTCCTAAAATTATCTCCAATATTCAGTAAATCTTCTTCTAAAAATGCACATGAATTTTTCAAATAAATCATTACGCTTTCAAATTTTGAGTCAAATACAAGTTCTCCAATAAAGCTTTCCTCAATTGAGGGGCAAAGTAGTTATCTTTGAATTGTGTGTCTGGGAATGAGTGTGAAAGCTCATACTACTCACGACAAGACTTGCTTCTGAAGTGAGCCAGCCTAGATTAAAATTCATGGATCATTAAATGACTCATGCAAGGATGACATATTTACTGACAAGTGGCAAATAATCTCTAAATGCTACTAAACTGCTGAAATAGTTTAAAATGAGAAAAAAAAGAGACTTTTTGTCAGCTGTCATTATCATTAAAACTAAAACACTATTCAGCAATATTTCAGCATTAGATTTCACATTGGTTGCAATTCTATTGCTGCAGAAATATACTGCTGCAAAATACTGAATCAACAGTATAGAGTCCTGTAGCTTAGTGGTTAGAGAACCGCCTTGCAAGCGAGAGGACCTGGGTTAGATTCACAGGCGCGGTGAAGTTTCCTTACTAGACATGCCTCTGCTTAACTAGCAGTAAGTAGGAACTTGGTTGTTAGTCAATTGGTGGATCGCTTTTCCAGGGGGTAATAATCTCAAAAAAAGAATAATTTTGTCACTCAATCCATAACTGTTTGTGGGACACTGCTGTGAGCAATTGGCTGTCACATTTCGCCCACAAAATATACAGTCAATTGACTTTACAATATATTCTGTGAAGTGCTTTGAGACATCTAGAAGATGTGATGAGGCACTATATCAAATGCAAAGGTTATCTATCTATCTTCTACATATATTAATAAAACAACAATATCTGTCTGTGCTTCAAGAAGGTACTCAATAATCAATTGACATAGAGATATGAATTATACCTCATCGGAAAGGCCTTGCATCTGGGAATGACATGGGCATATTTGTTTTTGGGTATCTCCTATCGTTCATGAGTTATTTTCAATTTTGTGTTTTTCACTGCAGTTACACCTGGTGGCCGCCGAGTCAAAGTGACGCCGTGGCACCATGCGTTACAGAGCACCTGCGTATGTATTCACACACTGCAGTTACACCTGGTGGGAGTGCCGGCTGACTGTGGCGCTGTGGCATCCTGTGCCACAGAGCATACTCGTAGCCAAGTGGCGGGAACAAAATAAAGAACACAGATGAAGCTAAGCTAACAACAAAATTTAATTTTTAAGGCGCCAAATCCTCCCAAATGGAGTCCTCCCACAGGAGTCCTCCCACAGCAGTATAGATGAAGATGAAATGGCTCTGTGTGTCAATCTACATTCCATATTGGATCCTTTGCTTGCAAGTGCAGCTACTACAGGTACAGCTAGTGTTATTATAACAGGGGGTTGGCGGAGTTATAAAGCAGCTAGGCTGTGTTGTGCTTTGCCTAAGTGACTTGCATTGTTAAGGCATCTGCTATCCATACTGAAAGTTTATTATCAAAAACACAAAAGGTATTTTTTTTAAATGCCAGATAAAAATGCTGACACTGGATGATGAGAAAATTAAAAGCGTGAGATGAAAGTTTCGGACATATAATAAATGTGAACATTCCTTGATTTGATCTTATTGGTTGTGCTTACGCTTTGAAAGTTGAGGATAAATTAGTGGTGAATCAAAACATGTTCAGTATCATTTCTAATTATCATTTATTTTTGGTAACACATGCAAACTCGTCAACGTGCTTAAGAGACTTTAAATCAAGCTACTCAGCATTCCATATAGTCATGGTTTCCATTTGTCTGGGATGGAGTTTGTATTGTCTCCTTGCTTGGATGTTTGAGGTATGCATTGGGATAGTACTGGAGTCCAACTAAAACTGCACAGCTTGCCATTCCAAGCTTCTTTCTACTTGTCCAAATACAATCAAATTATCCTGTTAGGGGTGGAGATAAGCGGAGACTCCTTGAAGCAGAACTAGCTCCAAGGTGACATGCTTGGCAACGGACTGTCGGAATCGAGCCAGCCCCCTGTGGTGGTCTCGGTAGTCTGTTTCCTAGCCAGGCAGGTCTGCAGTATTCCAGGGCATTACTGATGGCAGCGCAACAAGTCTGACTTTCGGCAGGACCTGGAAGGGCAAATCAGTCACTGGGGGCAGGGAGTCATCCCACTCAGCTCCTGTTAACCCTGCAAGCCAAAGCCTAACGGGTAGGGTGGTCCTAGCAGGACAAACTTGTCAACCAGTCAATGGCAAGCGTTGCAGTGTTAGGTGGTTAGACACCAGCAGTTACCCCAACCCACACTCTGGGGTCCTCAAGCCTTGACTCTTACCAATCTGCACCTATTACTTTCCAGATTAGCTCAGCAGAATGTGTCCCATTCCATTCCAACAATCTATCTCTGGGATTTCCATGTGTAGGTGGGATGCATGGGATTCTCAGCTTGGTATGGATACTCTTAAGCAATGTGATGGGTTTCTGCATGTGTCAGATACCTTGCTGACCAAAAATAAATAGAACCAAACCACCCTTTAAGACTTTGGCTTGCAGGTTTAACGGGAGCTGGTTGTGAAGAATCACAGTACCAGTGTCTGTTCCTCCAATTCGCCAGACTGGCTGGTGTGTCATCAATGGTGAACTTCATTTTCACACAGAACGAGGTATGAAATGCCACTAATTTATCCCATGGTCTCTTTAGTTCAATACATTGAAGTAATTGGGTGTTCTAGTGTTCAACGTATCAATGATGATGAAATGTTTTCTTACCTTTTTGCTGTCTTGTCGTTTGTCCCACTTTTATTTTTGCTATTTCTCCATGCAGATTCAGCACGTACAAAAATAAACCCACTTGGGACAAGAGAAGCAATAAGATGAAGAAACTGTGACAAATCCATTGTGGCTGGCACCAAGCAAAGCATCTGAATCTGCTTGCTGAGTACCTTTTCCTATAACAGAAACAGAAGACAAAATAAAACAAAAGAGGTGAGCTACAAGCTTCCGCCCAGCAAGAGACACAAGTGAAATACATTTTAATGTGAAAGCACTATAAGTACACCGACAGTTACAGTTTCAAGGGGTATATCAGATCTCGACACTGAGGTACATGACTTGGATAAGATGTAAAACTGAGGTCCTATCTTGCTTGTTATGGTGGAAATTAAAGATTCTGTGCCATTATTTGAGGTTCTTCCAATGTCATGGCTATCAAAAATCTTCAGGTCTGACTAGTCATTTACCAATTAGTTTTACTGTTTGTGGTATCTTCCTGGTGAAAATCAGTTGTAATATAATAATAATAATAATCCTTGCAATTGATATAGTGCCTTATCATGTTGTTGAACTGTCTCAAAGTGCTTCACAGAATATATTATAAAGTGAATTGATGTGTAATTTTGGGTGAAAATGTGGCAGTCAATTGTACACAGCATGTCCCACAAACAATCATGGATTGAATTACCAATTTTTTTTGAGGGATTATTACCCCTGGAATGCAATCCGCCAATTGACAAACAACAGGTTCCCACTTATTGCTCGGTAAACAGAGGCATGAGGATTTGTTATAAACACATGGGGGAGAAATTCCATCTGCGTCTGAATCTGGGTCTGAAGCAGTACTGTATAATGTTACTTCCTCTACACTATGTTCTTTTCAAGTTGTAGGTTATGTGTCTGAGAACAATGCTATCACCTAATCTTTGTATAATAAATTGTATCTAGTTGGGAGGTGTAGTACTGGTAAATGATCTACTGTAAAAGAAGTAGTTTTTTTTATTGGAAAACAACATCAAAAGCTTGCATTCATAAAGCACCCTTCATCAGAGGGTAGTGTCTTGGAATGCTTAACAGCAGTTTGGTTTGACACCAATTTAATTTTGTTTCGAGCAAGATCTGTTGATATGCTCACAGCTGAGCACAGACTAATATTCTTTGCATTTGTTATAGCGTCTTTCACATCAGAAGGACTTTTCAAAAAGCTTCACAGGTTTTACTATAGAAAATAGAGGCTTGAAGGGGTATGGGGATAAGGCAGAGCAGTGATACAGTATGAACACCTTGCTCTGAGAGCCAGTGCATATTCAATGAGTCGAATACTACTAGTAGTAATAATCCTTGCTCCTTGCATTTGATATAGCACATTATCACGTCGTCAAGATGTCTCAAAGCACTTCACATATACTGTAAAGTGAATTAACTGTACATTTTGTTGGCAAAATGGCCTCTTTCTGTGCTGTAAATTCCTATGATTCTATGTTGTGACTATCATGTTCAAAACCCAGATGGCATAACCATTGGTACATAACTTTAAAACAAATTTTGACTTGGATAATACCTCTCACCCTGTTTGTTTTATGGTATCTACGCTAAAGCACTCGCTATTCTTCAAAATCTGAGCCAAGAGCTTAAGTGGTGCTATTGCTATGTTAAGTTACAAACTCAATGTCTGGAACATGTAGCAACATGTAGTTGGAATAATTTATAAATGTTACTCATTGAAATTCTGATGTGATTTATTTATTAGAAAGGTCAAAGTATTTATTGTTCCATGGTTTAGCCTGTTGTACACAGTATAAATATGTAACACAGACAACATTGCAGTGTTGTCTACCCCTTGCATTTACCTTCCCTCCCCCCATTTTAAGTAATTCCAGATAATAATAATCCTTTGATTGATATAGTGCCTTATCACATAGACAACAACAACTTGCATTTATATAGTGCCCCTCACGCATAGTAGCATCCCAGAGCAAAACTGCTTCAGAGGATGAAGAGTGTAGGGACTGTGTTTTTGTCGGCAAGGGGAGGCACCATCCATCCAGAGCCCTCCATCAGGTGCCAATCAAATCATAGAATCATAGAATTATAGCACACAGCACAGTTTTTCTATTTCGCACAGCAGTGATCCTTTCGGTCGGTATAAGTTAGAAGGATCAGTAGCACTATTGGATTGATAATTCTTCATGATGCACTTGTACAAATTAGGTCCAGTTCACAAAGAGGAGACTTTCACACAGAGTATAATGCACCTTGCTTCATGAAGGACAGTGCTCTTTGAGGACCTAACCACCATCCATACACTCTGATCAACAACAACAATTTGCATTTATATAACGCTCTTCACCCGGGTAGTGTCCCAGAGCGTTTGTATCATTATGGTTGGTGATCACAGGGTCATTATGTTACCATCCACTGTGAAGACTCTCCTGTATCTGATATGAAGATTAGCTGGAGGGAAACTCAACTGGCTGGATTTACTCATTCTAGCTTTTTTTAAACGAAAAATTCAGCTCCTTTAACAGCTAGGCGCTGGACATTTTTACCAGAACAGAAAATAAATATGTAAATCCTAAATGTATACCCAGTGTTTTGAGGCTGTTCTCAATTTCACAGGTTTGTTAGCTCGTGATTTTAAACGCTATTGATAGCTTTTCCACCATAATTTTATGTTCAACAGTTTTAAAAATGATTCTGGCTAAAGCAAAACACAATACTGCATCGAAATGGGGACATATCAGCCTGTCTGATAACATTGTTTTTCTTGTCTATTAATGCCCCAGATTTTAATTTGACTAACATAGCTTTAGCGGTGGAACGTGGGATCGTAGAAAGGGGTTACCTGGTTGGCTTTGACCGGATCAGATTTTTTGGAGGGGAAGAGGAAAAAAGTAATTTTACAATTAGCAGGCAGTAATCACAGGTAGTAACAGAGGCGATCAATGGCAATCCTAAAACCTGCGGGTGAATGACGATTTACTGCTTACCCATGCTGAGCATTCACTGAGGACAGTTTCATCTTGTTATACTCCTCGTTCTCACCGTCAGAGTCATCGCCCAGCAGGACATACTTCTCCTTAGTCTTCAACTCCGGCATTGGGGCTAGGAGATTTGCTTCTTGTAATTTGTGCTAGTTCACAGTCACACACCAGACTTCAGAGGGACTCGGCTCTATGCCACTTACAGCAATGCTCGCTAAGTTACACTGACTTTCTTTTAAAAGAAAGTGTAGCAGTTCGCAGTTGAGGGAGTGGAGAAACACCTGGATCAAGTTACCTGGAAACTCCACCTCCCGAGAACAGAACGATCAAGCAAACAAGCCAGACATCTTCCCCCACCCACCACCTTGCTCTCACACACATACATTCCTTTGTCACAGTTCAGTTCTGAAATGCTTGTGCTGCACTGTGTAGTAGTCAATCAATTATCCAAATACATACACATTGTGGGCAATTAGCCGGCTACAGATCAGTGGTATTTAAATATCCCCAAATGTCTTTATTTATTTGCAATGAACAGAATATACAGAATCACATTGAAGTTTTCCAACCCCAACTTTTTCCAGACCAGAGGCTTCCTCTGATTTGTTTTTTATCTTCTGTTTGTTTGGATTATATTCATTAAAAAAGTGTTTTGGTCAGCCGGGTGTCTGACACATGAGGCAATCCATCATCATCTTTAAGAGTATCTAAACCAACTTGAGAGTTGTTCCATGTATGCTATCTATGGATGGAAATCACCATGTCTGGAAAGAAACACTCTTTCCTCGGAGGGATGTATCCTATTTACATAATTTACATCCAGCTTAGACCACCCTACCATTGGAGCTTTGGTTAACTGAGTTAACGGAAGCTGAGTAGGAAGAGCCCCTGCGCTTGCTTAGATAATATGTATCTATAACTATATAATATTATTTAAGGGAAATGGGGAAGCCTGCCCTGTTAAGTGGGTTCTGCAAGATTCCAAGTTGCGGGAGCTGCTTGCAGCCCAGAGCTAACAAGCAGCCTGCAGAGTAAAATAACACGTGGGCGCTAGCGCGGGGAAAAAATCCTCGCAATGGCATGATACTGCGGGTGGAGCCACACACATCTATAAAGCAATGCTCGGCACTCCTCACGGTCGCTAACTAATGGTCGTTAACTGGTATGTACTGACGTGTACAGGACTTCTGTACAGTCAGAGCTAGTTTCATGTTCCTTTACTAATGTGGTATTGTGCTGCCAGTTGTTATAGTTATTTGTGATTGTTATATTTGCGCCCAATTGTTGCATATCTTCCATTGCTGTGTTCCTTATATGCAAGGTAGCCTAAGGTTGCTAGGTTTTAATAAAAAGCTGTTGTTTCCACCGAATGTTTCCTCAAGTCTCTGTAGCATTCTAGACAAGAAAAGGAGTAAGCACTTCGGAGGGTAGTTGTCAACATTTGAGGTCAACTAGTACAAACAGACTCCAATTAGACATTCCAGTTACCAGGCATTGGGGTTAACTGTCTGTGGTTAACTCTGACTTGGTTGAGTCTCCTTTGAAATAGGGGCTCACACCGACAGGGTTACGAGAGAAGCATAGGGCATTTGGTACAAAAGCGTTAACAAAATTTGCACGTACATCAAAGGGTGAGATCCGTCGCACAATGCATGACATTGTGTTCAGTTCAAGGAGAATGGAAAAAAAGCTCATGTTACCGTTAGATCCTGAGGCCTTTGTTTTGTGCTGCTGAGGCATTATAGTTAGAAGATACTGTATAAAGAATGCAGCTACGTATAAAAGAATCAATTTCTAGTGTTCATGAGCCTATTTCGCAAATTAGGCTGTCAGATAGATTCTGTGTCAGTAACTTGTCTGAAGGTCACCAAGGGCTACATTTGTGAGTAAAGTTGCTCCATTATTGAGAATTTGTTGGACAAAATTTAGACTATTTTTGAATATGCCAAAAAATCTCTTTCTACTATTGTTGTTTTCTCAGTTTTCCCTTTAAGTGTCATTTTCATTGTTTTGCCTGTAAGAATTATTGAATCATAGCAGTAATGCTATGTGCGCTTATGCCAAAGTGATATGGAATGGAAAGCTAGATTTATACTGCCTGGGGGAATGTTTGAGAGAATTGAAAGGACGTCATGGAGAAGCTCGCAGTGGCTGTACATGCTGTGTTCATACCAGGAATAATGCAGCTGTGAATTGCAATGCTCCTAAAGTCACCTCCTCCCCTCATATATACTCCTTTCTCTATTCAAATCCTACTATGGGATCTTTGATGAACACGCAGACAGGATCTCATTTAGCAAAATCATAGCAGATTCACCACCATAGTTCAAAACTAAGGCTGTGTTTAAGAATTTGTCAAAATTTGGATGGTGTATTAAACTAAAAACACCCAAAAGGAATTTCTCCTTATAGATCTTTTGGGCCATTTGAACTCACGCTTCCAGGCAGGGCGAAACCTTGGGCAAGTTTCCTTACTCCACACGCCTAATAATAATCCCTCCAAAAACCAAAAAAAACAATAATTAAATTGGTCATTTTCAATCTACGACTGTTTGTGGGACATTGCTGTGCGCAATTGGCTGCCGCGTTCGCCCACAAATATACAGTCAATTCACTTTACAGTGTGTTCTGTGAAGCGCTTTGGGACGTCCTCCTGACATGAAAAGCGCTATATCAAATGCAAGGATTATTATTATTATTATTATTATATCAACCCAACCAGTTTCCAATGACTGCAATCTAGATCTGACAACACACACAAAAAAATAATAATAATAATCCTTGCATTTGATATAGCACCTTATCACATCTTCGAGGTGTCTCAAAGTGCTTCAATCAGAAGTATAAAAAGTATTGATGCGAAAGAAGAAAGGAAGATTAGGAAGGCTAAGAGGGATTTGAAAAATCATGGCCTCTTATGGGAAGGGTAATTATAAAGTCTTTTATAAACAAATTAAATTAGAATAGTCAAAGGTGTGGGACTATTTAGAGATGAGACTGGAGGATTCCTAGAGAAGGATATTCAGCAACTACTTGGAGATAATTATGCAAAGGAAAATCTTAACAATAATATTTAATAAAGTAATTTTATAAAGTAATTGGTGATTGACCAATTGTTTTATCTGAGGATTGTTGATCAGGACATCAGGAAAAACTCCTTTTTCTTTTTGAATTTACTGTATGTGCGTCTTTCATCAGTACTTTCAATTCCCGTGTGGTGTGGTTAATTTGTGTCACTAACCCCCTACCCCCAAGTTCTTTTATGTTCTTAGGAATAAGAGTGATTGTATGAAATATTTTACATTTCTGTTGTAAAATACATACAGAAGTTACCAACTACCTATAGTTATTAGATGAAATGAACATTGGTTCCCAAATCAACAATTCTCAAAACCTAGTTCTTCAAGGTTCCTTTACTAAGTCACTTTATAATTGTTATGTACAGATATTAATTACTACACCATAACAATTGCAAGCTGGGACACCCAGCTATCTGGAAGTATCGTTGCTTACCCCTTCCTCAAAGATTCACTTGATATTGGCTTGTTTTAAAAATGGGTTCAGTAGTGGCACACAGAATATGTAGCTAGTAAAGCTAATATTCTGGGTGCTGGACCAAAGCAGATGTTTATGAAAACATAAGATTTGATGGAACCAGAACAGCCACTTGGATCAGTATATCTAATGAGTACATGTCAAATTTGGGTACCATTCTCTAGCTAACTTATGCAATCTCCAGCAGTTGCATAAGTTAGCTGGTGAATGAATTGTCCATGGAGATGAATCTCTGTAAAGTCCCTTATTGATCCTCAACGTAATTGTGCAGAACTCAAGTTTATTGATCTAAAAACTATTATCACTATTGTTCAACTTTGACCAATAGCATGCCATGGATGATATTTCAATGCCTCCACAGTGCACACAGGAATTATCACTTTTCACTGAATATTTGACCATCCATATTCATCATAATCTTCAAGCCTGTTTTGCATTGGATAGATATACAACAATGTTCAATATCTGCGCAAATGGGGATGAACTTCCCTGTGTTTGTGAAAATAATGTGGTTATCAGATAATCTCCCAAAGCCTTATACTAGAAATAGAAAGTTGGTCATTAACTTCAGTTATTTATTGAATATTGCATTATGCAATTCAGCTACCACGTTTGCCTATAAATACACAATCACTACAAAATCCTGTGATTTTGGAGAGATAATGAAAAGTTGTCAAAATAAATTCAAGGAGGATATTAAAGAGGAAATGTTCATCTGGAAAAGACAAGGATCAATATAATTGAAGGAGGCATTCACCAGTGTTTACAGATTAGATTATGAGAGGAAACTCAGAGGAATATAGCCAGCTAAAGAAAGAATTAATACAGAGGAGGGAAATAATGAAGATTAAAGAAGGAAAGGTGGCAGTTAGGGAATGGTTTTCTAGAGAGAATGAAGGAGGTTTGTCGCCGCAGGTACTTCAGTCATTGCTAATAAACAATGACTGGACTCATTCATACCTTGTGAAGCTTCTAATTATAATAATCCTTCCATTTGTTATAATAATAATCCTTGCATTTGATATAGCGCCTTATCATGTTGTTGAGACACCTCAAAGAATATACTGAAAACTGAATTTACTCTATTTTGATATAGCGCCTTATCATGTTGTTGAAACATCTCAAAGTGCTGTAAAGTGTAATGACTGTGCATGTGTACACAAATGACTGAATATATATTAACTGTTTGAATCAGCTGGTCCAGATAACTCAAGCTATAGACAGTATAACAATAATACTACATGCATTTGATATAGCCCCTTATTGCCTTGTCAAGACTCCTCAAAGAGCTTCAAAGGATATACTGTAGTGTGAAGTGTGCATTTTGTGGGGGAATGCACAGCCAATATTAAGCCCTCGGGGACGTTGCCTTGTGCGAGGGGCGCTATGTAAATTCAAGTTGTTGTACTTTATGAGAGGGAGGGGGAATTAAAAGTAGCATTTTACCAGAAGGCGTGCTCAGTCTGTGAACATGATGTTAGCAGTATTGTGAAAAATGCTTAGAAACAACTTTTACAATATTCAGAACCACACTTATACAATCATAAAAGCACAGAATTTGCAGCTTGGAAGAAAGCTATCTTTATTCAGCCCATCATATCTGTGTTGTCTCTTTGAAAGAGCAAACCAGCTAATTCCCTTTACTTGTCTATCATCTTACTCCTGCAACTTACACCTTAATATATTCATATGAGATAATAATGAATTCTTGTTACATGGCTGTTTGTGGATCTCTTAACAGATGAAGAGAAATTGTGGTTATTTTAATTGTGCCTAAAACTGACAAGAGCCAACACCACTC